CGGTTGCCGCTGGCGCCGCCAAGGAATGACATGATATATATCGTAAGTCCGACTATTGACCAAAGACATATTTGAATGAAAATAAGGAAAATTCTCTCCAATTTACTGGGAATTGATATGATACTTTGGAAGATAAAACAAACAAGAGAACAATCGTATGTTTATAATAACAAAGTCTGTGTGTTGAATTGATCTCGCACAATAAAGATAAATATCCAATGTTTCATTGAGGTTGTACCAGGATGGAAGAGCTGCCATAATTTGGAAAACAATTTGTATTTCCCAATGTCTGTTACGTACTACGGTTATATAAAAATATGGTAGGTACATTACATTTACGATTGTTAGTTGGTGAAGGAACTATAGCTGAAGAAACTATATTATTATAAAGGAGCCTCGTAAGGAAACTAACACTTTCTGGCTACCAAGAAAATATATTTTTAAATTTTAGGGGACTTCAGAAGATTCTATTCTATGATAATATTTGTAAATTGTTGTTATTGTTGTTTATGAATATTACTTTAATGACATCATGTGATGAATTCATAATGCTTATCTATAAGTATAGATATATTCTGATTTTATTGTAGCTACGAAAAATCTACACAATATTTTATGTTGAACTGTTTCAGTATATCTGTAGCTTAGCAAGATGGCCCCGTGTGACCTATACCAACATCTCAGACCTAGTATTTACTTGGAGGCAATATCGTTCACATCGGTACAGTTATCGGATGGCAATAACTCCCAGCCAAATCAATAAGATCTGCAAATCGTAAAATAGTCTGTATCTACTCTATGTACTAAGGCAAATGTTGCTGAGATATCTAGATTTTACAGCGTACAACACTAGGTGTTCCTAGTGACCCTTTACAAACTAGATTGCGGTTGGTAATTGGTTGGTCTTAACTCGTTTTTTTAAACAAATTTTAACCCGATGAGTATCATGTACTTACTATTAGAACTGATCGCCTGATATTTTGGTCCTTTGACTGCTACAAATATTAATCTTGATTTACGTATATATCGTATGACAGGGGTCTGTCCAGTCAAACTACAACAATAAGTACGTAGGTACCTACAAAATTATAATAGCAAATAACAAGAAATAAAATTTACCCGAACGCGATAGTTGCTCATTGATAAATTTACTTTTAAACGATAAGAAAGTGATAAAACTGTTTCTCCAGAAGTCGCCATGGAAACTATACTTGCAAATAAGTTTTGTGTTTATTATCTTATTTTTACATATTTATATTATTTTATTTATCTTTAGTTGACTTCATCCGCCATTTTGCTATATTTGTTTGTTAACCTGAGCCTTGAAGTTGTTACTAAATTACAAATACTAGTTTCATTAACGATTTTAATACATTTTAGGTTTCAGTATTCTGTATAGACGATTATTACTGTGTTATATACTTATCTTTATATAAATTAAGATAAAAACTTCCTTATGTACCTTCACAGATTTTGTCTTCCTTTAACTGCAAAACTTGCGTCGTATATAAGAGAAACATTTCAATAATTCAATTATATGAGCGCATTTACTGGAGAGAACAATAACAATTAACTTATCTTTATAATTTATTGCGAATATGTGGTATAATGCGGTTTTATCGGCTAATAATAGGGAGCGAGGCGAGTGTTTGCTCTGCGTTTGACGTCAGGCGCTCACTCGTACAATCAAACATAACATACGTATAAGTACTCCTAGCGACATGGTACAATACTTTTATTTCTGAAGATATTTTGTAGTAAGTAAATTCATTCAGATTCACCATTTCTTCATAGTTACATTATTTCACTTGAATCAACCCTGCTTCATTACAATAGCAATACTTTGAGAGGTGGAAATAGCTGAACATATTTTAAATAATACTAATAATGTACGAGGACAGAATAACTTAGACCTGGTCTTGTCCTAATCCGTGTGAAAATCATGTAAATGTATCTCCTATTTAAAAAATAAGGAAATCGTTGGCTGAACATATTATAACAAATTAATGAGTGTGGGAGAGCCATGCTTCCGCACGAATGGGCCGGCTTGACCGGAGTGATACCACGGCCTCACAGAAAATAACGTGAAGCAACGCTTGCGTTGTGTTTCGTCTTGTGAGTTTACCGGAGGCCCAATTACCCTCCCCTTCAGAATCTCCCCAAATTCTGAATCCCCGACGATCCTCAAACTCCTAATCCCCAAAAGGCCGGTAACGCGCTTGTAACGCCTCTGGTGTTCCAGGTGTCAATGGGCGATGCTGATTGCTTACCATCAGGTGATCCGTCAGGTCATTTACCGGCTTATGCTATAAAAGAATTACAAAAAACAGGATTACTCAGGCCTGTAACACGTCTCTTGAAAACGAGAGGTCTTCGATATACTTATTTTTAGGACTGGTTCGTTGGTCGAGTGGTCGTAAGAGCGACTGCTTTTAGTCTGACTGTAGTTCCATACAAAATTATTCATTAAAACCTTAATAGGTACAATTCACAATTTTGTGGACATAAAGTTATATCATTATGATATGAGCTTATGGCAACGACTTGTCGCGGAGAACCTAACGGGTAACCGGGGTTCCGGCTCGACGTGCAGGAGAAGGAACGGGGTGGTTTTTAGTCAGTAAGAGTCTGACACTCCCTCCCGCCTCACCAAGGCGGGGGCAGTCATTCGATGATTTTCCCCCTTAAAAAAAAAAAAAAAAAAAAAATGGCACCGACTTCTAACCTATCACTACTAATAATAGTTATTTTTTGCTTTTTAGTTTTGACTTTTTGATTGTTATTAGTTTTTGGTTTTTTGAAGTCGGTTTTTTAAACGCAGTTTTTATTTTATTATTTTATCATTTTCAGTGTAAAGCTACACTACATATACCCGTTTTGTTACGTATAATCTACATAGGTGCAAAGTTCTAATCAATACAAATTATACAAGCCCAAACACAAGGTAGTTACAGTATATCGTTGAGGAGTTCCCTTAACAATTACACTTTTTCATCATTAGACGCATAATGACAGCCCCAATCTATCTAGGTGTAAAGTCCTCATCAATACAAATTAATCAAGCCCAAACACAAAGTAGTTAATATAAAGTATAAACCGCTGAGGAGTTCCCTCGACTGTCTGTCGGCTCCATCAGGTCGACTATAGACCCTTATCAAATTAGTGTTTAAAAATCGTAATTGAAAAATATAATAGACGCATTACTCGCCCATAGAATTTTTGAAAGTTCCCCTCGATTTCCCTAGGATCCCATCATCAGATTCTGACCTCATGAGTATAAATGAGACCATCTCGGGAGTATATCCTTTCAAACAAAACAAGAATTTTGGAAATCGGTTCACAAATGACGGAGCACTGCGCGAACAAACAAAAAAAAAACAATCAGCCGAACATAGTACCTCCTCCTTTTTTTGAAGTCGGTAAAAAGTGGTTGTCCATTGTACAGTGGCATTGTGCCGTAAAATTTGCACCACTGTCTACCCCTTCGGATATAAAACATATTATGTTATGTAATGGTCTGTGCAACTCATTCATAGTAATCCTGGCGGTGTAGCGGCGTGCCGTGCACGCTGCCTATATACCGTTACCTCATTAAAAAAATGTACAAAGTCAAGGAGTTTAAACGCATTAAATCCTACTAATATTATTTTGTTATAATTTGTATGTTTGTTTGTCACTCCTTCATCAAAAAAAGGTTGAATGGATCAAGAAGAAATTTGGAACAGGGATGGATTATGATCTGAGCCACGGCTTTTTTATCCGACGGCAACGCGGACGAAGCTGCTGGCAGAAGCTAGTTATTATATGTGAATGAGTTTATTAAGTAAATCTGTCATCACTCTCTAAGTCTATAATACATAATACGATGGAATCACTCTTATAATGTTGTATGTAGGTAATGAGTCTGATTGTATATATTTTTTTATCTGTCATCTTTAAAAACAGTAGGATTATATTGTAAGTAATTAGCATGATATCATTATCATTATTCACCATCATTAGTCGCATACAAACGTAACAAAAGTCTTCTGTTGTCATGATTAACATAGATTACAAAATCCTACTTTGCGGCTATGACAACATAATTCTATCATCAACCTGACACGATTATGTCAACACTCCTCATGTAAACACCTTAGATAATAACAGCTGTTCCAAAAGCCGATATTCTGGTTTAGGGTTCGCTAAGAGGAAAATAAAACAAATTTTAATTATCTAGATAACAATATATTTTTGTCATCAACGACAAACTTAACAACAGACTACAACATAGATCTTCTCAACGAAACACCTGCGCGAAGTTTGAACATCACCTAAATACCTGTGAAATGTTTACCAACACATTGAGATTAGCTGGGGTCCAATATACATACAATACTTCCACTCCCACCTTGTAGCATCCAAGGACGAAAGAAATGCAAAATAAATGGACGGCTCATAAAATTTAGGATTAAATAGATTGCCAACCACGTGAGGCACTGCGGGATTTAAGGCGATATATACGCCTATTATATATATACCTAACTGTAATAGGCAGGTATTGTAGGCGCATTCAAAACATACTGCTGCAAGCTGTTGGTAAACAAATCTACAAACAAAACATTCAGCAGGTCCGCGAAATCATTACCACAACAACATATAAACACATTATGTAACCTAAAATAGTTTGTAGTTAAAATAATCTCTTATTCCCTACTTTAAATTGCTTTTGGTTTTGACGTGTTTAATACGTACATAAATGATGAATTGACTCAAATAGGAGGCTGGTCGGTCAGAGCCCGCCTCAACATACTCGTACATGACCGCTTAAGTGTAATCATAAAAACTTATTGGTACTAAATACAATTAGGTATAAGTTTAAAATTAACTATAATTATTCGTACAAAATATATTTATTTCAGTGCATTTCTGCTTATTATTTTTTGGTGGATAAAACAGTAATCTGGGTGTCTTTCCATGTGACACAACTCGATCTATTCACAAGGTGTTCTCAAGGTTACTATTACAATACTTCTGCCGCCATCGTGTACAACGTGAGAGTATACAACTTTAATACAGATATATATATTTGAATATGCAATTTATTGTAACTATACAACCAAAGTATATGTCAATCATGATCGAACCTTAACATTAGAAGCGTATTGAGTGAGATTAGCGATCGATAAACTGTAAGTAAGTGCAGACACGTCCGGTGCCAGCACCGACAGAGGTGGATGTCACCGTCCGTCGCCTGCCTTACCTTATACTGTACACGCCTAGTGGGGGAATGTAAAATGCTTTTGGCACTAACTTCAATAAATATTTATAATAATTTTATATTACAATACATTCAAATTTGATATTTACAGCTTATGAGTAGATACGGATATATAAATATATTTACAAGGATCGCTTGTTGATACAATAAGGGTAATGAGGTTCAGTATAGCTTGTTACATTTATACAAATAGTACATAGTCAGTAATGTGGAACGTGTACAATATCTACAGCTGTAGCTGTCCGTTACAATAAAAGCTCTAGCAACACTCACATCGATACACCGGTGACGGGAACAGCGCGACATCACGCTGCGCCCGCTCCTCACTTCGTACTCACTGCGCACTCACTGCGCGCTCACTGCGCACTCACTACGCACTCACTACGCACTCACTCGAACGACACTCGTCACCGAGTGGCCGCCGCGTGATGTCTTCTTACATCGACACCAAACACTGTTTATTGGTTCTAACATCTAACATATTGATTATATTGCACACATTCACTTAATTCTATGTATAATATCCATATGTGAGTGGGCTAAAATCCCTCTCCGCCATAATTTCGTAAACTCACCGCTTAACTACCTGATGGAATGACATGTTTGACGCACCTTCTATGTGACACTCGCTAAGCAAACTATACGAAGCTTTATCGAAGACGAACTCAATAAAAACCTACAGGTTTATGCGTTAAAATTAAAATAGAGCTGACCTATTCAAAAGATGGATTTTCTTCGAAATGGCATACACGTGATCTCAAACGAATGGTTTTTAATAGGAAATAAAAAAGTCGGTCTCATTTCTAATATAAAATGTATGAATAATTAGTAAAGCCGACATAATGCAGTAGAAGCAATGAGGCAACCGACTAAACCATAGTATAATGAGCTTGCTTAGGACTGCGCCGCGTCGGGCCGCGCTGCACGGCAGAGTGGCGATGTGCCGACCGGAAGCACTCTACACGAACTCTAGTGACAACTACTGATGGGAACATGACTCTGAACTCGAGGACGATTCTTTACTTGAAACATGATATCTTCTCGTAGCACCGTTGCCGATCCATTAAATTTTAGCACGATTTAAATGAAATTCGAAAGATCTATGTTATCGTCATTTCTTTACAACTCTAGTTCTATTAAATTAGTCGCGGAATTTTTCGATTTCTCTAATTTTTAAAAATTGTGATTTTAAAATTTGTGAATTTTAAGATGAACTTATAGTAACGGTAAAAGTAGGAGATTCTCTTTTATAAAATTCAGTCGCCGCCTACTGGTAAAATCGGATTAATAGCTACTCTCCTAGAAAACTTTTTAAAAAATTTCAGCACTCCCGAAGCGTCCGTCGCGGGACGGACGCATCTCGGTCTCGAGCGATTTCATCCAAAACCTTTCGGGCGGTGCGGAGTAGTGTTCGTAAGTAGTGTTCCGTCGCTCCGGACGGCTGCGTCATGTCGCGATGTCGCCTCCCTGTGCCATGCGGGTCGTACACTCGTACCTGTCGCGGCGCGTCACGCGGTGCGCGCACGGCCGGTGCTCAGAAGAGCATGTGGCAGCGCAGGTTGGAGTTGGCTATTCCGTGGTGTGCGCGGTGAGGTCGGCCCGCGCCGCCGCGCTGCCCTGCGCGGCCGGCGGGTCGCTGGCGGGGAGGGACAGTAGATGTTAGGCCTCCAAAAAAATCAGCGCGGTTGGCTTCGGCTCCAGATTGGATTTCTTTGCTTCAACAACCAGGAACTCGATCTCCTGTGAACATTTGGCGTTATACATTACATAAACTTGATTCGTTCATAAACATAAAGTTTGATATCTTTACTACACAATGAAGTGGAAGATGGCTTAACAAAAAATACTCACCGGTTTGTCCCTTTGTGCAAAGGACTCCGCTATCAACCGCGCTACATCTTGATGTTGGAGACCCTCCACGCGATGTCCATCCACCGCGAGAATCAACTGGCCCACTTCTAACCCACCAGCTTCATAAGCAGCTCCGTGCTCCTGAAAATACATTTCAACATTTAGGTTATTTTTTAATCTGAACATTTATTTTTTAAACGTTACCCCACACTAGGTTTTTCTCCTGTGTCGTGGGTGCGTTTACAAACATACAAATTCACATACACATGACACCCAGACCCGGAACAACAATTTGTGGATCACACAAAATGTTTTTCCGTGCGGGAATCGAACCCGCGACACGTTGCACGGCAGCCGGTTGCCCAGCCACCGCACCAACCGTGCAGTCACTATGAACCTATTTTAGAAGACTGGTGCTAGAACGTGTACCAATATTCAAAAATATCCAGAAGTTGATGAGTCAGTATTAGAGAGAGTTTATTGAGATGCGACAACTTACATGAATGTTGATAATTCTGGGCAGCGGGTGCTTGGTGTTGGCACCGCCTTCGATGGCGATGCCGAGGATGGGCTTGGTCTTCTTGACGGTGATGTGCAGGTTGCCATGGTGGTCAGGCACGACCCGCGCCGCGCGCGCCTCGTCCGGCAGGTCGCCGTGCTGCAGCCGCTGCATCGACTGGTGCCGCCGGATGCCACCCCGCTCCTCCAACAACGCACCACTATCCTCTTTCATGTCGAAACTTCGTGACAAATTGTGTGCTAACTCCTATAAAAAGTTAACACTTTACCATAGAGCATCATTTTGAATGATTGCTTTCTAGGCGGCAATAAGTCACTTAGATTCTTGTACTTAATATATATTTATTTGTAGGTAAGATACGATATTAAAATTATTGATATGCCTTCAATACCTGAACCCTAATAACTAATTGTACACATCCACACTAATACTGTTACTCTACTATGCTAATAAATAGCAAATTCAATTCAGCCTCTAAGTACAATTTGGTGCTCTAAGAATATTGAGGAGACGTGTAGCTGGGCGGCAGAGGGCAGTAACTCAGCGACGTGGTACAGGCGAGTGGCGGCGCGCGGGCCGCTGACTGCTGGCTAGATACAGGTAGACTTGATTTACGACCTTGTGCCTCTCAGTTACAATATGTACAGTGAGTAGTATACGTCGAATGTATTGAGAAGCTGTAAGTGAGATGTGTGCTAGAGGCTTGGATTCATGCGGTTCAATCACTCGGTGGCGTGGTCAAGTGGGTATATTTTACAAGTGTTACAATGTAGTATGGAGAGAGTTCTTATCCCGTTTACCTACCTGAGTAGGCCAATTAAGTTGTAGCAAGAAAAAACAGCACAGACCAACTCAATACGAATAAACGAAAATGCAGAAAACAAATAAAATTTTGTCTAGAAACCAAAAATAAGGTCGTCTCTGTCCTGTTATGCTTTTACGCCACCATGCTCTAATTTAAATAATAAAATATTGATAAAAACACAAAAGAAATGGAATTGAATTTATAAAAACTATAGGTACTGGACTTTACTGAAGTAAATTAAATTGAGGACTTGTGACATGATCACTTGTTTTACTAAATTTTCATGCAGTACGTTAGCTCGATCAATTCAAGACAATATTACAAAGTACCTCTACAGGCTAAATGAAATAACCGGAATGATAAATTAAATCACTGATTTATGTGCGTTACTACTTCGAAATAAATTTATGGGTCAAATAAAAAAATATTTACTAAGAAATTAACACCGAAATGAAGTGCAACGACAAGAGAAGTGAAAACATACAATAATTAAGTAATTCACTAACACCAAGCAATCGTTTTGAACTCGAAGCAAGAACTTCCAATAAAAAATTAAGACTCTTTTAATTTCGTGCAAATGTAAGATCGTTAATGTGCTAGGACAGTTTGCTGGTCATTCCGGCGGCGACAGGCCGGGCCACTTACTAGAGGTCGTCCCCAGTACCATGATTTTACTTTCTGCGTCCAGCCACCGAGTGATGAGCGCAGCCCCTCGAGATAGCCGCACTGAAACATCACACTCACTCAGGACCAGAACATCCTCCCTCCGACATCTAACATCCGACATGTCGCGACTCCTAACTCCCTGAGTTTGCCACACAGCGACCCGCTTGTGTTCTTTGTCGTGTACAATGTTCAAGTGACTGTTAAGCATCTAGCAAAAACATAGCCGAAGACAGGTACGCTATGGATTCAATGGGACGTATCCTACTTAATAGATTTACAGTTCAATTTGATGCGGTTATACTACTAAGTAGGTTCTCAAAACACGTACAAATAATCTGTATAGGTACCTACTCGTACAAGGTGTAATCATACCATCTATATTGAGTAAGTATAATTTATCTATCAAACAGGTTAAAAAATGCTATAAAAATTAGCAAATACTACTGTTGCTAGCTATCTACAGAATATTAATTAGGTAATATATGTAAAGGTGAAATTATTTGCCAAGCCTTAATAAACATTATTTACTAACCCTTTATTACTCTGTATTGTTTGGATTATAACATGGTCTTATACACTGCACGCTGTCTCAATAAAAAATAAACATTTTTTACGATTCTGCAGTTTTATTAAAAATACATACCTGATCCTACACGTGAGATTGGTTGGGTAGCATGAAACAAAAATGGTAAGATGTTATCAGTGTCGGTATAGCGCCAACCAAGCATTAGCGCACTGAGCAACTTTCAAGTCATGCAACAATTTTGTCCCATTGTGTGTTATTGTGTGGCTCGTCGCGTTAACTTTCCATCAATTGTGTTGTTTCGGATCTGTCAACGAATTCAGTGTTGGCTCATAGAAAAGTCTTCAGTATTCGGAAAAGAATAGTTCTTTTGTTTTTTGTAGCGGTGCTTACGTACTTACGTAATATTTAGGTATTGTTTGAAGATAATCATTTTGTTACATCACATTTCTACCTACCACCTATGTTACACTTGTCTAATTTATTATCTGTTTCGTAAGCGTGTGGTTTTATATGATGTTCACTAAATTTAACTAGCAATTTTCCCTGTAACAAACCCATGGTATCTCCTAGCATTATCGTAGCAACACGTAGAAAACACAATGCGCTTAGTTTGTCATAACGAGATTATTTCTCACAAATGTAGCGTGTATCTAGGGGCCGTATCTAGAAGCAGGCGCGACATGGTGCGTCTCGTTAGTGTCTTCTATAAATAATGAGATAACATCGGCCGAAGTCGTCCGACACGCGCCCGATCCGATGCTATGTACGACGCAGGCCGCCAATACAAGCAGCCGAACCACTAACCCATACTATACCTATAGCCAGTATTATCGGGCATCTACACACAATCCCATTCCAGAGAAGACAACTATTTGATGTAACCTAAGACATATTTGTAATAACAGAATATTATTTCAGTCACAAATAAAACTGAATTGACAAAAGCTATAAATATCGACCACCGTAATTAGGGTTTCGAAAACACGTGGAAAAATATTTGAGTAAAGTTTTGACGTTTTATTCATACAAAATAACTCAGGTTGTTTGGTACTACTAGCGAATTCTTTGGTTTTTACAAGCTATAATATTTTATTTAGTTAGTGTATAGAGAAGGCTTAGTATATCGACCGTCATTGAGCTATTGCAGATTATCTTGTGGTCCTTTTGGATTAAGATTCAGATATACACTGCCTCGTTAAACTTGCCTGACTCCACATATAATTTACCTTGTATATTATGTAAATATTACTTTTAACCAGCGCTTGTTTCAGATGTCGTGACTGCACGCATGAACGAATATTTTTAAATATTTTTTATAAGTACTTTGCTTTGACCTTTTCCGTGGTTTTTATTGTGAATGCACGTTTACATATTATTATTATAATCTTAATTCGTAATCGTACGTAACATGTACGTACATGTACAGAACAAATGTATGAAGTCCGTTACAAATGGAGGGTACACACACATTACGAGTTGAAAGTTTTTGGGACGTGACGTTTACGGCTCTTTGGGAGTTATTACTCCAAATTAAGTGACTTGTTGGTCTAGTGCTCGTAAGCGTGACTGTTCAGCACAAGGTCGAAGTTCCATTCGGATAGGCACAAGTTTATTGACTAATTAATGAATTTATTAAATTGTTTTCTTAATATTAGACTGATGATTACGATTTTTATAAACATAATAATATTCTAAGAATTGTTAACTAGTAAGAACTTTCTAGGTACATGATGTATTGTGCTAAATGATGTCAGGTTTTCTTTCAGGGGATCTTAAAATAAGTGACATACCTCTAATATTGATTATAAGTACCTACCTTAGGAAATAGCTGGGTATCAAATGAAGGATGAATTTATAAGCACTTGTCTCTTTGTTCATCCAACTACATTCATAGTTGTACAATGCTTAACTTGCAGGCTTACGATACCAGCATTTATAACTACGACTTAATCAGTCACTTCCGTCATAATAGTGAAGATGATTAACTATAAACTTCTAAATACAAACCGTTAGATTATAAATTGTAAAGATAACTACGAATCACGATATTCTCGAATAATACTCAGTCATATCTAGTCACTTGTAATTACAAAGGAAACCTCCGTATCAATGTTCCAAATCGCGATATCCGTTAGATATTTATGTAAAAAGTAGAAATAAATTTATCCATTAGATAACGTGTTGTACGGGCCAACGGCAATATATGAAGCTGGTGTTACCGTTGGATCTGTGCCAGACGAAAACTGAACAACTCTATATGTTGGTGAACTCTTTATCTGCCAACATGAATAGTAATTGCCAATTAAACCATAGTTACATGTGTTCGCCACAAATATTAATACTACACTGAATAGTAATAGTGCTAGTTCTTGTCACGTTTGAGCTTTCTAGTGTCAAATCATTAGTAAATATCCTGCCTGGCTAAGCTTAACTCGTCGAGTACCGGTTTTGTAGACACAATTATAGAACAATAGGTTGCGGTCACTGGTGACCGCTTGGTGTTTGACAGTTTAATACCTAATTAATTGTTTAAAGATAATAAATTTGAAATTTATCATTTCCTTTCTAATGTTTCCTATTAAATGTTGTTTTTTTATAAAATTTAATTAGTAGAAAACGTAAAAACTTAATGTGCGATTTCTCTAAGCATTTTAAATTCTAAAACTGAACTTGGTCGTTTATCATTGCAGCATAATACCTACATTAAAGATCAATAATATAGTTAATGAATAGACTCGAATCAGGAGATGAATAACTGCGTCCGTATGCTATAATGCTATTGAAATAGCTAATGGTAAATGAAATTCGAAGAAAGTCTGCTTATTAAAATAATTATTGGATATTGCTATTGATATTCTTTCGAACGAAGCTAATTTGACTTCATCTACCACTTTCTTTTAACAATAATAGGGCTATGAAAGAAATGTTAAAATGAGACTTGATTCGAAATAATTTCATGTGGAATACGAATTAAGATAGTCACTACTTCAGCACAATGTTGATAAAGTTTGTTCAGTAATACGTAGTTTTAGTAAATATGTAGTCAATAAACATTCAAAAATAAACCTTGGAGTTTCGAAATGTTTCCCTCTAAAAATAGAGCGGAGGTATATAAGATATACCAAGTCAGAGTAGAAAGTAAATATAATATCAATCAATAGTACGTTTTCCCCTTCGATATGCTTTATGTACACAAACTGGGATCTCTTCCCCACTTATTGATTTTGATCACATAACGTAAGATGACAAGTCTATTTCGTTCGCTTCTCTATTTGTACAATAATACAAGTATGTAGGCATAGACTGCCTCTTTTCTTAATATTGTACACTTTCGCCCACAATTATATTTTGAATAAAAACTGATCAAAAAAAGTTGCCAACTTAAAACAAATCTATTCCACCGTAGATTGTCTCATGTGTACTTTGAAGTTCTATTTGGTTCTTACCCAGGATTTATTTGCCTCCAATATGTGTTATCTTAGATAATTATAATCGATTATTAACCAAATTGCTGATTACCCGTTCCACCATTTCGAAGTGATTTATAAACAAACAGTCATTTCTATTTAAATACTTACGATATAATGTGTTATTCACTTACATTCATGGTACTAAGATTCTATTATTCCTATTATATGTATGTATGTATGTATACTACGATACTCGTGTATTACTTAAGTCAACATGTAACTATTAGTTGGTTATGCTCAATGAACCGTCGAAAGCTTTGGAGACAAAGGCACGCCTGTTTAGTGAAACCCGCTCTGATACTGTAACCGTATCGAACAAAGCCAACATTAATTTCACTTTTACCGACCACTGAGTACGCTTCACTAATCGTCGTAAACACTTCGATAGATTGAATTACCGACTTTCTTTGCGTGAAATATGATAAACGTGTGTCGAACACGTGGTTGACCATTTGAGAAGGCTTCGGTGACCACAATGCCTTTTCACAAAGATTTTTAATTATTAATTTTACGGTGGTTATTTCATTAAGTACTACGAAGAAGTGAATCTTAAAACTTCACTAATTTTCTTTATAAAATTTAATCGGTTGAATATACCGTCACACTGTCATGTAACAGAGTAGATAATAATGCTGAAAGAATTGCTAAACTTCAATGTCGACACGGACATCGAACTTGAGATTAACGATAACAATAACTGAACTTTTGCTATCATCAAGCACTATAAATAAAATGTACACAATAATTACACATAATAAGAATAAAAGAATAATAAAAAATCACGAGATACATTCTCGGAAAATGTTTCAATTGCAAACGCAATCTGATTGGAAATACCTCAGCGTTTTGACACAATGGACAAAAGAAATTTGTCGCAATTGTGATGTAGGCAGTAGATTTGGTAGTGCATTTGTAGAGCAGTCAATTTCACTTTAGCAAAACGAATCCTTTTTTAATTGTTGAACCATTTTACATAACAAACGCGCAATGAATGGGGCCTACAACAAAGATGTTTAATTACGAGACTTCGCTTTGTTAATTAATTAAATATTTCTTGAATAATTTTGGCAAGAAAAATTCTATTATTGAGTTTGGTTTGTTAAGGTCGACAAAGATTTCATGGTGCCTATTATAAGAAGTTAAAATTTGATACGGCTGGATCATATTTTGGTTTGAGGGTTTAAAAATAAAACCAGTACCATACCATAAGTAATACCATACCATAAGTACCATAAAACCAATTTGAAAAATTAACATTATAATAAAATTATAGTATCATACTATACTTAACAGAAAGAGAAACAGATTTTTTTTGAGTTGTTACCACCAGTCGAGACATCGTTTAAACCTTACCTTTATTTCATAAAACCTAAACGCGCTTAATGCGACTACATAAATATTTACTCATTAACATTTTATAAAATTGATGATGGAACATCAACGAGTCCATAAATAATAAACTCATTTAATTTAAACGAGAAGTTCAAAACGAAACAAGAGTACTTACGCTTTATTCTAATCGTTACAACAATAGCGAATTTAGATGTTAATTTTAACTATAATTAAGTTTTATTGGGCGGCGTGATTGAGGTGGTAAAAAAATAAATAGTGTTCACAAGACATGGGAATCGCAGGTGGTTGGCTTGGTTATTTCCGGTTTGTCCAGTTTTGGACTGATGTCCGCGTGGGAACTAACGGTGCGGCTGGCAAGACGATTTGTTCATTGACCATTGTACTTGATAAACACGAGAAAATTATTATATCCATACTTAAAATTCCTCAATACAATATATCAATATACGTACATTAAATTCCTCAAACATTATTATTACTTAAATACATTATTATTTCACACAAATGTCACAGAATGCTACAAGCATTTCGTTTGTTGGAGATCTGACAATGGCTGTGAAATTCTTGTTTAGGACTCGAGTAATAGATCATTAGTCCATTAGACTAAATTCTTAACTCTATTAACACAATAGTGTTTACATAAGCTTCGCTTTCACTGCAGAAATCTTCTGTCATTCAGAAATCTATCTTTGTGATTTTATTAAAGTATTTTTAGTTTGCATAGTTATTTCAAGACGTTCAATTATTCTGTATTGTCAGTCCAGAGATATTGACTACAAATCGACAATGGTGTGCGTGGGTGGCCATAGTCATTGCCTGTGGCATACAACCAATTTCTACCTCAAAGCGACGCGACGCTTGCGTAGCTAGTTGAGTATCAAGTGAACTCGATTCGCACAGCGGCTGGCGGCTGTCGGCTCAACCAAGCGGTTGCTCTGGTCTGACGGTCAGTTTTGCTCCGAGCGCCAACACATGTGCACGTGTTATTAGCTCCACGATCACTTGTTTACAAATCGAAGGTAGTGCAATATCGCCGTCAACAGGATAACCGTGACAGGTAAGTTAAATGTTAAATGGAGGCCAGTGTGCCAAATACAGTTTTGTATATACTTATGTACGCGAGAAAGATCCGTCTGCAACATCGCATGTAGTTTATTAGGGTGTAAACAAAACAATACAATTGCGTACCTTTTGTTTTCGAACTTTAATAATGTAGGTAATACGTGCAAAACTTGTGAAGATTGTAAATTGAATTAACTGAATGCATTTGATTATCGCTTTTTGTGTTAAATTTTAAAACTTCTGCTGACCGCGACAAAGATATCGTAGATGCAATTTGTAGGTCAGTATTAGTTGTAAAATTATCTACATGTCAGATTTATTTCTTTGTGAGCATTTTATGTATGTATATGTAAGTCATGTGGCTTTACTTAGTAATTCCAAACACATTCGTCAAAGCAAGTTTAGCTTGCATTCGGCCGGTTCTTTTCGGGCCATGGGCAGAAAAAATGGTCCTTGTCTTACTTACTTCGTTGTATAATAATGTGAACCGCTCTCAGCTCTGCTTCACGTTCATTTTGATGAAATAAAATCTTAACAATAAAAACTAAAACATTTATTGTTCTTCTCTTCATTGTATAAAATTTGAATGGTGGCGCAGCTATGGATGCATATTCCTTGACATTAGTGTAATGACGATCATGTATTTGTTATATTTATTCCTGGCCATATGTATATATTATATGAAATATTCATTTTACAAAAGGTCATGTCGTGTTTATTCAAAAATAATCATCGATACAAAAGCAAAATTGCATCTGCATATTCATAATATATCTAATTGATTCATACCTATAATTTATTTTTAGACAATGATATTTATAGTGTTTCTATTGAAAATATTATATACCTAGATAAAATCTCTCGCGATTATGTTTTTATCACAATTTTATTTAACTCGTAGTCTTTTCTAATGAAACCAGTTCTAGTAATCAAGTAAGATAACATTTCGTAAAAAAATAAACCTACTTTCTATCTAGTCTAACTTTGACAGATGAATTAACGAGTGACAAGTGCGGTGATCGTATTACGGATTGCTAATCAAATCGTAAATATTATTTTTCTTTATTTATGTGCAACGCATGACTGACTTGTTGAATACAACAAGGACACAGTTGGCAGAAGGCCTTCAAGAGATCTCTGTATTGCTATTGTGTTATCGTAAATTATGCACTTTTTTATCCATCCACAACAGTCAGCGAAGCTCCATGACACGCTTTCTACGATTGGAATGGAACGATAGACTATTAGTATACGAGTACGTAAACGCTGAGAGATTTAGACCTAAAGGCATTGGATAATAGAAGACCATTACCGCGATTGGGTAAAGTGCATTAGACCATCAAAAATCTTAGCTCCTCTTTAAGCGAGGTCCATTTATATTTGTGAGTCACCTATCTATATGAATGAATCATAAATTAGACCAACGTTTAAAGTGCCTACTTTTACTACTCCACCTATGTACTTAAAAATTTAGTAATAACAGTATCAGAATTGTTTATCTTCGTGCCGTTTTTGATTGAGATCTGATAAATATGGGTGATATCGAAAAAAAAACTGCGATGCTAATACATTATCATTGATAAATCTAATCGATAAGTCGTTGTATTGTAACGCTAGTCAGGAGATTACACCGGCTACAACAGATATAGCTATTGTTGAGATCACGAACCGGAGCCGTGCCTTCCAAGGGGGTTAATGTTACAGTACACCTTCCTTATACAGTTCGTCTGGGACGACGACGGACCGATAGCTTTCCGGCCCTTTGAAAAGAACCGTTCTCTCGTTTCACTTGATTTATATTAGCGTATTACCCACCAAGTCGTTTACCTAAATACATTATTGTAGTGAAGCACGGAAACATTTTCCTCGGTACAACCCCATTATTAATGCACTGTACGAATAGGCAGAGCCATTGATTGGCCTAATATATTAGGCTTACGGTACGCGAAAGCTGTGTAGGTAGAGATTAATGTCGACCCACGGGTCACAATAGCGCACGACCAACTTGGAGAAATTGCAGCGAGCCCTAGAAACTAAATAGATACGTGGAATATTATGAGTTAGCTGTTTAACTCATTCACTTTACAATAATTTAAACGACGAATCATACAGAAAAAGTATTATTAGTATTGTTTATGTTTATGTCGCGTGTGTATGTTAAGCAAGTCATTGTTAGAGTCCGGTATTACTAACTGCGAACATAGATACATGAGGACGTACCTAGTTGGTTCATTAGTTTTCTAAAACGATCAGTAACTCCTCTTGTTCCATTTAAATGCACAATATAGTAGATACTCATGCAACCCAGTCAACAACAGTCGAATAGAACAAGCTTTGTCATTTGTGTTGTATTTCCGTGGGCAGAATTAATGAGTCAGACGATAGTGGATAAATAATAAACAGGCAGCAGGCAAATAAGCATGCATGCTGAGGCTTGTGAGCATATGAGCAGGTTTGTGTGGACAAACAAGGTTGGCAATTAGCGAGGTGGCGTGGGAGAGCGGTCGTGATAACATAACGTCGCAGTCCCGCTAGCCAAACAAAGCGGACGTTCACCGACCGACGAGACCCGTATTTTCTACCCCTGCACTATTTTACTATCGGTCAGGTTAAGCTCATGATCTTCCATACTGCCTTTCTCCAACACTAACATACTTATGCAAATTTGACTTCGTGAACTCGCTACATGAGCCCTCAAACTAAAATACATTTACTATAGCTTCCATGTGATTTATATAGTGAACGATCATTGGTAGACAATTTTCTGCGAGTTGAAATTGAACAGTATTTTACTTTTAAGTTTTCATATCGCGCATTAGGTAATATGTCAGCTTCGTGTCCAATTTTATGAGTGACAGTATCCAGTATATCTTTCATACGCAGACAATTTACACCGTGTAGTGCGTGACATGTAGAACGGATCGTCTAGCTAGGCACTTAATTTTAAAGCCAAATGCACTATAGGTACGTTTCTTTGACGTACAAAAAAATACATTAGTTCTATTAGTTAACTAGCAGTGCTTTCTTCAAATGATAAAATTCCTACACGTACACATTAGTTTAATCGTCCACCCATCGGCAATCATCACTTATCGTATTATAATTATTAAATTAAACGTTTAATTTATCATGCCAAGTAAACCGATTATTGTGTTTCATAGAAATGAGGATTATTAACATTCATCGAAGGTAGTTTAATTATTTCTTCATAAATATTGGAATAAATAAGATAACTGATAGTTAAGAGAGATTAATCGGAAGTCATTATTGTTCAGTAGTAGCGTTTTAACAACCATTTAAAACCAGTTAAACTTCTTTTAACAAAAACAAATTGAAGTGTGTAAAGTAACAACCTTTAATGTTCGTATCTGTACTACAAATCCGGTTGCAGTATAAATAAACACAAATATAAAGCGACAACTAAAAACCTTTCCAGAAACGTGAAGTAGAAAGTGGCACGGCGTGTTTACGGGAAACGACTGGTAATTGCAGGAAATATTGGGTCACTCCATACAAGTACCCCTTGGTCTTCCTGTTTAGACGCTCAATCTTTCAGTTTCCTGCGTGTAATTGGTGAACATAATGCAAATCACTTTTAGTACATTGTAATTTGTTCGCTATAAAAACTGTAATAGTTACTTCCAATTTGTAGTTATCACGCAGACACGGCGTACAGATTATATAATGACGTTTAGTGAACTACTTAATTGCTATTTAGGAAAATGTCCCGCGATATGAAACTGCTATCTGGCGTACGATCTAACCGATAATTTTATTTTGGATTTTATTTTATTGTGCATAGATAAAATAATGATAACATTATAAGAACAAGAAATTGATAGCTACCTACAAGATAGCTTACATTACAATACATTAAATAAAATACCCAAATCTTTCTAGTGAAACATGATATAAATCAATCAAGTGATTGACATAAACCATTCTAAATCCTCGTGCAAAGATGTGGTGGCGTAAAGGTATTGCTGGCTAAGTAGAACGTCTGTATATTGTCACTAATATCTCGAAGGTAACGGTATCAAATTGTCATGACAAGTACATTACGTACAATTGCCACAGATATATCTAACACACTTACCTAAATGTGAGACACTATACATACATACGTCGTATACAATAATGTTGTTTTTCTAGCGAAAGTATCCTACTTGTTAGCACCTAACGATTTACTAGTCTACTGACCTTAACTCAGATACTTAATATTTATTTATATACTCAACCAATTGGATAAGATATAATAAACTTACTTCGATATATTTTTTGCTAAGTGATACGAAATAAGTAATTTATAAATCAAGCAATTGAAGCAATGTTATTTTCTTATTACCAAAGGCCGGTGGATTAATCTACTTTATCCAATACGATTAAGACATAATACCTATTAGCTACCAATAATCGAAGTTACAATCAAAGAATCAATCAATTTAATTGCGTAATTCTAAATAAGTCTCGCATATAAATTCTATACCAAAATTGGTTTCAATTACACGTTTCGAACCTGAGAGCTAAATTTCAAAGAGAAAGTACCATATAGTTTACACCATGAATTACTTACAATGTCACGTACAAAAGCAATTTGGAGCATCGTAAAACTGCTACTATCTCATAATTACACCATGCTTAACTGAACATTCCTTGGAGACATTATGGCGTCTCAATGAATGATAAAAAGTCTTAAACAGAAACTATTTGATGTAAGCAAGTCAACAGCAGAATCCATAGTGATATTGTTACATTATTTATGTACTTTCCTTTATTTACATGCACAAATTAATACGGACAAACGACAAAAGGTGTGGACGCTGCGCACGCGACGTCCCACTTCCGGCAAGTCTGTGATCCTCTCAAGCGCGTCGCGTAATTGTATTGTTATTGGCGTATACGATAGTTTATTTTGTATTATATTAAAATGATTTTCAGGAAGTATTAAGTATCTTAACTTTACGACTGTGTTTCTTCGAAGGAGGAAATTGACAGTCCATACATAGGTACTTAAATAACATAACCAACGATCATGTTGTAATATTCCGGGTTCAAATTCAGCCTTATGAGATCATTTCGAAATAATGAAATCCGATAAAATTGCCTGTTTATAAAAATTTAAATACTGTTCCAGAAATTGAATATCTCTTGAAATCCATAATGTAAATACCCGACATAAAAACAGACTGTACCTACCACCATCTAGAATTAAAATGCTTAACCAAAGTCCTTACTACATGGCTGTCAAAATATTCAATAGATTACCTAAAGACCTACAAAACGAAACTAAAGAAATTATATTTGAAAGAAAATTAAAAAAGTTCCTAATACAAAAATGCTTTTACTCGACAAAAGAATTCTTCGAAGAAAAATATAACACCAAAATTAAATGTTAAACCTACCCCATACATACACCCACAAGCACACACCAACATACTATACATTTTAAATATAAATATTCTATGTATATACAATATACTATACATTTTAAGAATACCCACTTACATTTTACACTTACCCACTAATATATTATATACCTTAAGTACTTACCTATATTCCGAACAAATAAATATGTAAAAAAATGTTAACCAAAATGTAATTTATAGTAAGCTGGTGACACCCCTAAAATTTGCAACGCCTGAAAAAGGCCGTTAAGCTGTGCCTGTTATTTCATAAGACCTGTATGTATTACCTTAACATGCAAATAAAGAGTTTGAGTTTGAGTTTGAGTTTGAATAAAACTGGCGATTGGATTTATGGCACCTATTGAGGATAAATAAATTGCATAAACAGTGTCAATCATGCAGTGTCAGTAAAATTAATATCTAATCTCGATTATTGGATATGTTTATCACTGGTGTATTGAGTCATAGGTTTCTGAGAATATAAAATTGTCCAGTGCTTCATTTTGGTGTCCGTTGTCGGGCCGGATCGCACCCACGGCAGTGAGTCACGTTTTGTTCCAACTACCGGACCTGTAAATGCATTTGATTCCGTCGGCCCGCTTTCTCGGATATTACGCGTATTACGACACCGGTACCGTCTCGTATTGAGCTCAATTTGATTAAAATAATACTAATATTATACATGAAATCCTGCAGCATTTTTATCCGTAAATTTTTTCAAAACTAGATAGTTGTAAGTTAGTTAACCAATGAAATTGTGCGATATAATTTTTCAAAGTTAAATAAATAGGTGTCAATGACAATGTCCGCGCCATAATAATCAAACTGCTTTGTTGTGCATTTGAATATTAAAATTCGATACCTATAAATCATAAGCCTATTAATAACGAAACAAATTGTATTTGAAAGCGTCACAAAGAAATTATGGCACCGCGTTTAGTAACACTTTCGCTGGAGAAAGCTATTCGTGCAATAAAGTATCTTTGTCTTTGCGCTTAAGATGCGCGGAACGGCTGACTAGTTATTAATCACTTATGCGGTGAGCACGACTAAGATGTGATACTGATTACCATACAATACAATATCAGTTAAAGAGGCCTTGGTTATAGTCGTACGAAGATGTTTGTTTACTTGAGACATATATTTTCTTTTATTGCCTGTTAACTATGTTTGCATCGTATACAATTTAGTAGTCTAACTGGACTCGTGACAATCGTTACAATATTTACATTTTGAATAAATATTACCAACAATATGTTATAAGAAATCCTGTAAAGAAACCAATTCAATATCGACGGCAATTTATTGTTAAAACAGTGGCCGTTTTCTCTTGGATCAACTAAGATTACTTGTGTAATCATTTCAAAATGGCTGTGTTACTTTACCATAAATGTCTCGAGACTACTTGATGGCGGCACCCACGCTTGGCGCCGAGATGAAGCCGCGCTTATTTAGGATTTCACCACTCCCCAATGACCATCGTCACTTACACAACTATTGACCAACGGTGCGGCGCCAAAGTAGTGCGTGTTGCCACTTTTTGCAAGGCCCGCACTTACTCGATCAGATACGATTGAATCTGATTCAATTAATGTCTGCTAACAATTTCCTAGTTTGGCAATTGATTTTTAGCCAGATTTTATCAAACAATAACTTGTTCCGTTAAAAAACATGTAGTTACCTATAGGTACCAAATTAAGAATTTACACATAGAATATTTTCTTATGTGTAAATGAGCGTCAACGTACAGTATAAAAACACATAATTTTATTTTTTCAGAACCAAGGATTCAATAACACCAAAATGGAAAGTTGGTTGGGAGATGTCAAACGCGTCAGAATTCCTCGGCCAAAATTCGGGAACAATAAATATCCCGTGGAACCGCCCAAGGATTATTTGGAGGATTGCGGAGGGGATCTTGGCAAGCAACGTCGCCATGACAAAGACCTGACTAAGGCGACAGAAGAGCTACGTCGATCGCTGCAAGAGAAACTATGACCTAGTCAACTAAGCATTAGGTCTATTTTAGATTTAACTCTAGCCAATGGCTTAATGACTCCATACACTCCCACTAATACGATTACACACGCACTTTGACGGACATTGTTCGGAACAAATGATCGTGATTTGCTAAAATTACGAAGTGTTGCGGACACGCGGTACGCGTGTTAATATCGTCCGGGTTATTGTTATCAATTATGTAGTCTATAGTGTTATTATTTTGTTAAACATTCAATTAAGGAGCGGTTTTCGTAGATGTGGTAAATATATTAATAGCACATCTACGTAACACAATGAAATCGGTGTATAAGAATGAGGTCGCTTTGATACTTTTGACACACATCCTATTCATGTCACGGTATAATGTAAGATTTAAAAGTGAGTGGATTTGAATGTCAAATGCCCCTGATTTACCTATCAGAAACGACAGACATTGTCGTGTTCTGTTTCAATATAAAATATACAATTACCTGTTTCAAAGTTACAATGAACACAGACCTCGTGTCTTTCTTATGTTAAAACATGTTTTTATGTGAAAATGCTGTCAGTATTATTTTACATAGATTTTGTACACTTGTTAACATAATCTGAAAATAATAAAATTGTTTCACTTGTCATGAGCTAAAAGAAGCAAGCTACATTAAACATACTTATGTGATTGTTAAACCAGTATCATTATTAACTGCGTATTAGACATAGTTAAGGTATTTAGACTGATATAATTTTAGAATAAGTTTATTGAATCTCGATAGTATTATAGTACTTTTATAAATAAATATTGGTATATCGTTTGTTGTTGTTTTCTATTTCAAGTTAAATATTATTATAAGTTATTAGTAAGGTTTATGATAATCGAAGAACTTCTCTGATTTCTTAGAAATAGCTAATCTACTTTGGAGTAATCTGAATATTCAGTAGCGTAGGTAATTATGAATTCGATAATAACGAACTCTATACTAAATGGATGCATAATATGAGAATAAATATCATCTATCTATTAAATTAAATTGTTATAAGTATAATTCGAATATCATCCAAAGAGTTTGAATAGTTTTTAAGTATATAGAGTTTGAATAGTTTTTAAGTATCTTTCTCTTCTCTATATTTTATCGAAAACAGTGTTCTCCTAAATACGTGCCTTCTTGACGATTAGTAGATATTTCAAAGCTGCGCTAGTAATACGTCATATAACGTTTTAGATGGACTGGTGAGATCAAGACGGCTTTGTCAGAATGCTGGCAAGATGCCAAACTATTCGGTTACAAATGAGTTTTGGTGGATATCTACTATGTTCCGACAAACATACATATAAACAAGAGCTTCTGCTTATTCAGCAAAAATGTTCGATAAGTTATACCTACATCTGTGGAGGCGAAACTAGTCATAAATTGTATTGGACACTTTCTAGATACTTCGACGTAAAATGTTAGTTTTAAATTTGAACAATATGAAAGTTGTATTACTTCTTGTTGAGAATGGCATTGTGTTTTCTATTATCGTTATTTGTAGTAGTTCACGTAGTTAAGAAGATTATATTAAGAGTAACAACTGAAACTTAAGGCATTGTAGTTGTAGATTCTAAAACTCAAGAGGTTGAAATTTTGTGATTGGATGAAACACTCATATTTAAATTTTACTATTTTTGTTTGCGTTCGTTTAAGTTTTGTCAAATGAAATAATTGCTTCAGTTAACCAGATGGGTAGCCAAAATATAAGCCAGAAAACAAATTATTTCTGAAATCTTCGTTTACAAAAACACACACAGACACAAAGGGATTGTTTAATAAAGTCATAATATCCGTTTAGTAATTAACAGACACAATGTTACCCTAAATAACAGTATGGCTTAAACAAAAATCAATAGAATACTTACGGAGTCATCGTAGTGTTGTGTGTGTAACGCGGTGGTGCTGCCCTCTCTCGAGTTGCACGGGGAAGAGTGTCGTCGAGATCTCCGGCCCTCCTCCTCGTACTCCTGCACACGAACATGTTTTTAATATTTATGTATTAAACGATTACCTTACATTAGTACATCACAGACCAACGAGTTTAATCGCGTAAGTACAGTCGAACTAAATGTAACAAACACTAGACAGCATCGTGTCACAAATCATAACATGCATCACACTTTACACGCAAGAAAGTAATACAAGCTTCAAACTACGTAACTCTATGTAGCACACGATAAAGTTCCGTCTAGACAAGAACCTAGATAGATTTTTTATTTGGTATAAAATGTCTAAGCTAGGGGTGTGAAACACTGAAGACTCGCGCTTAAACTGCAGGCCGAGGGATGACCAACTAAATGTCTCGACGATTCAATTGATTTTTCACGCTATTTTTGCATGTTGGCACAGTTTCTGGCCAACGCCGCGCGGAAGTGGCAAGTTGTTAAGTATTGTTATCGTTCTAGCAGCACCGAAACTATACTAAAAATAACAAAAACTCACATAACGCGCATACATACGACCACGATACTGGCAGAGCTTCGTACTAGGCTTCACATATACCTACTTGCAAATCATAACGAAACATTGTTGATGTTGACACGGAGAGCATTGGATTGGAACTTTAATTGGTAATTAATAAAAATGAAATATGTAAAATTCTATTTGAATTGCTTTGATTCAAGACTGGTTTGTTTTGAGTTATAAATGCTAAATGTATGTTCTGTACTAACGAACAACGAATTCCCACGAAAAACAATTTACATTGTTTAACTTTCATCCATGTTGCACAACAAACATTTGAGATAACATCTGTTATGTCTGAGATGGATTACTTTCGAGTATGATTATCTAAACTAAACAATCTGAATATGTTCACCCATTCATTTTGGGACTGATAGGTATACGTGTTGTAGAAATTATTACCTCTAAAGGACATACTAATAAAAATTATAATATAGTAAAATAAATTAAAGCACAGTTCGTATTACAAAAGCGCTCACGGACTAAAGCTATAGTTTTTAAATCTAGTTTTTAACAAATTAAATTAATCTATTAATTTTATTATTTCAAAACATTGTAGATGTTTCTGAAGATGAAATGAAAAATAGCATGGCTGAGGTCCACCTGGAAAACTCATCATAATAAACAATTTATATCTGTCATTTATTTGAGGCCAATGAAGAAGGAGCCATGGTATACCAAGATAAATATGAGCAGGCATATTTCCTTACACAAAATAAATTGTATTCTTAATTAAAAACAATATACGGGCGCGTTCACCGTAATCTAAAATGATTAATTTACTAATTTTACCTACAATTTAATTGTTAAGTGTAGAATAAATTTTGAGTATATGCACATTTAATGTTTAACAATAAACGAATTAATGAAAAATAATAGCTCTGTCTAAAATCTTACGACTCATAAATGCATTAAGAAATCACAGAATTGACTAGTACAACGGTACATAATATAGTGTGTATAATATTGGTTCAAGAAACTTAACAATAGCTCTGAATTTGACCTAGCTGCTTTTGTTCATTGTGTCCAAGAGAAACCCAAACCAGGTGTCGGTGGACAATTGCGTGCAACATCGGATCGAACTCATTAGTTGTTATCGTTTAACCGGAGCCATTGAACGCAATAGTTTTACGTGTAACTATAATACATAGTCACGCAACTGATAAAGGCTAAAGACCTTATAATTTGGATCAAAATCGACCTAAATGCCTGCTCGGATTACCAAGTAAACAACCGTATTTTTGGTTACATTAAAATTAGTTATTTTGTGTTAACCTTTAAATTATTTATTCAATTTAAAAACAAGTAAATGTTAGTAGACAATTTACGATAATAACATAACATAACATCACTCCTTATCCTTGAAGGGGCGGGCATATACATTACGGCACTTATTGCCGGGTGAGCCTATTGCCATATACCGAGCACATTTCCAGACTCCGTGCTACTACTGAGATTTTTTTTTAAAAACCTAATAGTAAGTTCTTTACTCGACCCGGGAATTGAACCCAAGACCCCTTGACCGGCAGTCGCACTTGCAACCACTTGGCCGACGAGGCAGTCATGCAGGCAATGCAACGAGGCAGGCAATTTATAACAATACTAAGGTGGATTTACGCTATAAACCTATCAAAATCAAACAAAAACCAACCAACCAACTTTAGGATTAAACTAAACGTTAACAGATTATCACAACCTGTTAACTAGTCTTACTGATCTGATAAAAGTCCTACCTTCCTTATGCTTACAACAAAAAGGCCAATAGAAAGAATATTCAGCCAGTATCTAGAGCACGCCATCCAGCTATTCATTACACAAAGTACTCACACCGTCTGTATATCTAACCTATCATCGGCATGTTCTCGCGTAAATCCTAACTGTCAACAGAGGAAAATAGGTCATTCCGGTTCTCAAAGGCTACAGACTGAACCGGTACTTTTAAAACACGACTTTATCGTAGCACCTGCCTGCTACAGATCGTAGATAACGCCGAGGTTTTGTTCGTTTACAAAAGAGATCCTGAAGACTACGACGCTACGAGACGCTACGAGCGCTACGGCTACGGGAAATTTTGTTGTACATTTGATTAATATTATGTTTTTTTTAAGTCTCGTACATTTAGTTCAACTTCGTAATAGGTTAGACTAGATATTAATTATAAAATTAATTAGATGTGGTCATAGATAATAATGAAACGGTTCATTGTACTGCATCGATGAGTCCCCAAAGAGAAGACATCAACGACCTGGTTAGCAAATTGCTAATTTAATTAGCTTTATTGATCGGCCAAATGTTACTCGATATATTATCGTCGACTTATACGTAATATACGAAAGTTTATCTACTATATCACAAAAAATAAATTTTGAAATACGGTAAGTAGAGATGTATACTAAAACTTTTTCATTTATTTTGCTAATTCTTACCGTCTGTTATAACGAGTCTATTACCATAATATACTGAATATAATATCGCAGACACAAAATAATGATCAAATCAAATCCGGGATCTCGAACTCAGCAATCTCGTTAAAGATTATTTTCGATGATCATTAGACCACAAAGGAACCTTTCGTTACTTAAAAGAAATTGCAGACAGTAGTAAATTTATCAAAGTGCTACATAGGTGCTTGAGCCTGCTCTAGAACATTTTAAAAATTGACGATTTTCCAGTGTTTATTCTCTGTAGTTTCAGTGAATAGGGAGGGTTGTTAACAACAACCCTGTTAATTATGCAGGACAATCCGTGGTCTACGTGGAAGTAGCTCACACCTTTCAAACTAAGAGCCATGCGGGAATTTATGCATAATGTTTAAATAGTTAATTTTAAGCGCACGATTTCATTAAGTTTATGGAACCACTCCGAGTTGCAGATGTTAAACATACACAACGTCAATATAGCGTATGATTAAACTTTCATTACGTATTATTAAATAATTAAACCGCCGTCATTTTCGCGTTATTCTCACAACGGCGTTCTGTTATTGTTGCAGCTCAAACAGGATCAGGCGCTTAACAGTCACTCACTTCAGTAAATTACAGAATTATTATTTTTTGAAACCAACAACTGAGTAAATATTCATTAGAGGTTTAAAAGGTCCTCTAATTATACATGAGGTTTATTATGTTCTAGGTAACTTAAAATTACATTGCATGTACACGAATTTTCCATTAGGCAGCGCTCGTGTTGTCCATACACAATGAATCACACGTAAACACAAAATTATTTAAAAACATTTTATTTAAAAGGATTTTGTTTTCATAAAGCTAAATATCTGCAATTTAATTACATACATAGTATCGAAAAGCAAAACAACTACGCTTCAAAACTGTACAGTTGAAACATTAAAACCGAAACTAGAAACAATTTAACTTTTTAAGCTCATCTAATTATCACGAATTGGTACTGTAAAAGACAAAGACTTTGTATGGAAGTAGATGGTGTACCTTGGCCATGGCGCGAACGTCCATAGGTACGTAGTCGCGAAAGGCGACGCGGCGCCGCCGGCGCGACGTCATGCCGAGCGCCCGGCGCGCCGCGCACTGATACCACGAACCGCCTATAACCACCCTTGCCGCCCTTGGGACCCCTTGGGACGTGCACGCCCTACGTGCCCGCACCACGGTTTGTTTAAGAGGCTCCCTCTTAACTTTACATTTTATGGCACACCCGCACCGAGTACGCTCCGGAAATATTTTTAATTTTCCACCTCTTAAATGAAATATCATTGCGGTCAATAACTGTCGCCTTTGAACCCCCGAAATGTGGTAATTTTAAACTTAATTAAGAGTTCATGCTGATATTCAAACATTTTATTTAGAGGTAGAACAAAAGGCTTAGGCTTCAAGTTGTAATCCTATCTAGAAGATAAGTTGTAAAGTTGCTGATTAAAAGTATACAAGACCCCTAACCCTAAACAACTTTTGCTTAAACATAAAATAAACATTTGGTCGTAAAGAAGTAGAAGGGTCCATTTATCTTTGTCTATTTCGGACGGAAAGGTAAATATAATGATACTGCGACTGAACGATGACAAACGAGATGCTTACGTAACAAGTTCCAATTAGATAACGTGAAGAAAGTGCCCTGCGCTACGTATCTATACTACATTTATCTATACTAGCTAATTAATTTCATTTAGGGGAGGATGAAGCATGATGCCCACAAAGCCGCCTTTCTTGGCACTCTCGCTCTTATTGAACTTCATTTATAAAAGATGTCCTATATTTATTAATGAATGCTTTCTTTTGACAGTAAAAATTAATTTCCCGGGTGGACCGCGGTTAATCTGTGATTAATTTACATTCGCTTGTCTCTTTTATTTGTAGCCGCCATTGTTACATATTTATTAGTAAGGTCATAAATAAAGTAATAAGTTTAAATAGTTTCGAGTTCAGTTCGTTATCCTAGGTATAAGCTGGCCTTATCTTTATGACGTATCACGGTACGAGTGCCGCGCCTCGCTGACGTCACAATATTAGATGGTTTAGAGTTTAGCCTTTAGCTCTCATTAATTTTAACAAGTAAAGGTGATTTGATTTGATTGTCTGTAAAATTGTAATAAATTGCTTTCTTAATTAAAGAATAATTTTTACTAGACATAAACCGTCTAAAATATTCATAAAATTATGAGCTAAAAATGTTTCAGGTTTTGTACCTACCAAGTACGTATTAATCATTTATCCTATTTCACCTTGTCGCCTAAATTACTGATAATTGTTTTATTTTCTTTCTTAAGTGAGTTAACCTAACAAAACCTTAAAATCAGACTTTGTGAAACTGGCCCTTGGAGTACCAACATATTACTTTGAAGACAAATAATCTTGATACAGTTTGTGTACTCACAATAACAAAGATATTGTATATTTATGAAATGGTATACGTCATGTGAATATCATACATACACTCAACCTCTCGAGGGGATTGAAAGAACACTGAAAAGAGAATTCTCAAATAGAAGCGCTTTATTAATGCTGCTAGGTGGACCGCGGAACATAATCAGGAAAAGAGAAAGGTACTATACTTGAGGTCGTTGTTATCCTATGGTGTATACTCATCTTTAACTTTTGAGCCTATTATTTACGTAGCAATAGGATCCTTTATTTCCTATCTGCATAAAAAAAGAAACAACACAAACAAAAATTAATCTGTAAAGTTGGACAGAAAATAATGGTAATTTTCGTTATCATATAAAATGCCACTAAATATAATTGATGTTTTCTAAATATATATAAAGATAACTACACTTTTTCACTATCATACAAATTCCTACTAAAAACAATTTATCAATTTTTTTTTCCAACCAACTTCCATTTCAAACACGAGAAAGAAATTCTGCGACATGAACCCCAACAAACAGACAGTCTGACAGACAGACGGATATAACGAGTCCATAACGTTTCCGATTTTCGCATTCTGCTTTACCTTAAAAATTGCTTTAGCAAAAATGTACCTTTTAAAAGCAGTATGTGTTTGAGGGTTAGACGAATGGACAAAGGTGTCACGCCAATGGAGGTACTTTTGAAATTCAACTGGCACCTTGCCACGGCTTCCTATACGTTGCCAACATTATTCTATAAAAATAGCTGTAACTTAAGTTAGGTTAAAATGTTACAGTGTGCCTTAGGCTGTACGAATCAATTTCTGTACTCAAATCTGTAGTATCTGTGCACTTTAAGAATAAAACCTTTGCTACGTCTAAAATTAGGATAGGTCGTCTGTCAAAATAGTATCTACCTCTATCATAAATATTACCTTATTATTTCACATATGTAGGTAATGTTTCTAAAACCTATCGAATTTTGTTATCATAAAATCTAAAGGAAACGCATCGAGTTAAAAAAGTAATAATTTTCAGCTTACACGCTATATTAATTGATGTGGTTTATTAAAAATATCCTAAAAATAGGAATAAAACAATTCCTATTTGTAGATAAAAGGGTCGTTTGAAAGTTATTAATAATAATAAATTATTTAAGAATGACTTATTTTGCTCTTATTATTTTTCCTAATATCTTAATTCGAAAAAATAAAATTATTTGTTTACTTTTACATCCAAATGTTTTATTTTACATTTTCTAAATTAATCATATATACAGCGATACGATTAACAAACAAAAAGATAAATAATAATGAATATCAAAAATAAAAAGATAACACGCAGGGCTCGTCCGGGATTTGAACCCGGGACCTCTCGCACCCGAAGCGAGAATCATACCCCTAGACCAACGAGCCGATACAGCAACGTGCGAAAATAGTAGTCTGAACAAACGCCCTGCACTACTCTGTTATCAATGACGTCACAATTGTTTAAATATCATTAGTCATCCAGAATTATGACTAGTCTACACGTGACGAATTAGTACTCAAAGATATTTATTACTTAACTTGCATAGTGGTTATCGTCCTTGTTGAGATTTTGAAATATCGCACACACATCGACAGAATAATGAAAACGTTTTGCAAGAGAAGAATACTACTTTTATCTAGTCTATACTAATAGAGTCGAAAGAAAACACTGTTATTGGCCGCTATTACCAAATTAGTATTTTCGTACAGTCAAATTGCCAATTTTCCCCATTGATCTATCTCTTTTTGAGATGAAAAATTATTAGGTAACAGAATTTTGCCAGATTTACCCATGGAATGCAATATACAGGAAATAACGGCCATATTTGTGAGCTGTTTTAGTTCTACTCGCTAGCCGTTATCGACTCATGCAAGAAAATGTGAGATACATAATAGTTGTACAGTGGTAGTGCCGAGGTGCCACTCCAGCAAAAGCCAATGAATTTATTTGCAAATTCCAAATCAACGAAATAAAGTACTCTTTAGCAATGAAAGGTACTGATGTAATAAAAGCAATGCAGCATCACCTGCCTCAGTCATTGTTTTGTATTTGTCAGTATTATGATAATGTGATCAAGCTTAACGGACTTGAACATGAGCTAGAATAGCCGTTGATAACGATTGATACAATATAATAATAAATATTAAGTGTGGTCTGTGATGAGAACGCGAGTGACACCCAGGACACTGCTATAGACAAGGCGTAGAGAAGTGAATGTGGTCGACAAGATAAGTGTAGAAGGTAATTCTGGCAAAATCACCTCGTGCGGGGGCTCCAGGTCGTCGTCCGGGGGCGGCGCGTCGCTGGGCCGCCACGCGCGCCCGCTCCTGCCCCATACAACACCACCGTCACATCAACAGGCCTTCACACATAGCTACTCCAGCAACTAGTTCACACATAACACCATACGATAACACACAAACTCAACCATCAACCGATTGGAACCATTGGGAGCTTTTACAGGGACGTACTTGCGAAACAATACGAACCTAGTCTTGTTAATGTTTGTGTTTACAGATGTCCATGTATCCTACTCCTAAACTGCACTGAATAAAGCAAACGAAAAAATTTACGCACTTGTGCAGCGAAACTCAATCAAGTAATTCGTGTTTTTTTTTCAGAAATTGAGAAGTAGCAGCGTTCGAATTTTCCGGTATAATAAAACAAATTCCATGCAAAAGTTCAAATCTAGACCTTTCCTTCCTAGATGAAGATGGTTTGCAATAATAATAACTAGGTACGTCAAAATTGTTGCCCAATTTTGAAACAATTTCACAAAATTAATGTAACATAAAAATAGAAATGATGCTTTTGCATCGATTTTATAGGCCCATAAATTGAAAGCACCCCTTACTTACGGATGCAGGACATTGGCACTAAACCGCCGGTGACAATAAATGAGAACGTTTATGCTCTCATAAAACAATCGATTCCAATACTGAATAAAAGTGGAAGTGTTTGGCGACCAGCCAATGAGATGCTCTGTTCGCAAGAGTGAGCGCTGACAAGGGCTAGTGGAAAACTGTGGGTTATTTTCGCTGTGAGATGTAAAAGAGCGGACGAAAGCGAACGCTCGACGAGGACTCAGCCTTTGCTTTCGCACTTTAATGGTACTTTAACGTTTAAGCGTCTTTATAAGAGGCCCCGCCGGCGATGAGGGATTTACGCCTCGCTCATTAGAGAGGTGCGGTCTCTAGCGCTTGCGGCTCTCTGATGCAGCGCAGCCACAACTCAATGACAAATTATTTCTATACCCTTCCGTTTTTCACAGAAACCACAAAATCAAATTAAATCGTAGTGTAAGAGCTCTAGCTATGTTAATCTAAGTGTGGTCAGTCATATAATGAGGTCACCTGTAAGCATGGTCATGCGGTGGCAGGCCCAGGCCGGAGTCCTCGGAGGGCGAGCGATGGTCGGCTACGAGAGGTGCCTCCGCCGGTCCCTCCTATAACAATAACCCGCAACCTGACCCGAAAGCCCCAACACTTTCAACCACTTCTCATGTGAAACTTACGTTGAACTTACTAACTTGGTTATTACTTAGGGACTTCGAACTCCTTAGTGGTGTAGCACTACAAAGTCACTACTGAACAATACAATTTTAAAAAGCCCTAAACGGAGACAAAGGAACTTAAGAAGATACTTGAAACGCTTGTGGTTGACATAGTGTTAAAAATACGCGTAAATAATTGGTCACAGTTAGTAACCACTGAGAGTTGTAAGAGTTTTACATTTTTCAGGCCTGACCATAATGGTGTTTCATTGATGTTTAATGATTCTTACGTGTTATTGAATTAATGGGTACATTAGTGAACCATTTATAAACAAAGCTCAATCTACTTAGAAAGCAATCAAACTATTACATCGATGGAACATGCAGAGACAAGGGCGTACTCGGCCTTCCTTTATAGTCAGAATATTGTTTAATATTTAACCGTCATGTATAGCTTTAAGAAGTTTGGAGTTGGGAGCAGCTGTGTACGTCCATGTGCAGTCAAGTGTATAAGTAAAGCGTGTGCACTTACCGGGTCGTGCAACTCATGCATCGTCGAGGAGGGTAGCATGTGTCGCTCGGGACCCCGCTACCAACAAATCGTAAGCGTCAACTAAGTTTGTGCAAATGATATTGCACTGAGATGTTAACTTCGTGTTCATAGAAAGAAAGGGTAATTATGAATTTATCTAGACTATACATAACGTCTTTGTTTTGCAGCGCAGCTGTGTGAATTTAAAAGTACTCTAGTGATGTGAATGTAGATATGAATGTTGCCTGTTCATTAATCAGTACATAACAATTGTTGAAGCAAAATCTTTAATTCAATTTCATCTTAGAATCATTATTTAGAAGTCTTCATTTTAGGTATTATTAGATAAGTAAATGAAAGGCATAATTTATTAAATAAACTTAGTTATCTTGTAGTAGGCAGAAAAACATCGTTTAAATTAAGTTACTCAGAGCAATCTTGCAGAGGGCGGAATCCTAATTAGGCACTGCAGGTAAGGCACAGATTATAACATTGTAAGACGAAAGCCTGCCTAATAAACTCGGAAAAAATACGCCTTTATTTTTCGCTGAAGTAGAGATTAATTGTGGAAACGTTGCGAAATGGTATTTACATGACTCTATTTTTAAGCTAGTTAAAGCTTATGTTAAAGTTTCTGCAGTACCTTTAACATTTCGTGTTAAGTGTTTTACTTACTTCATTAAAATTACGAATAAATGTACCTACTATTTAAATCAATGTTCGACTTTCCTTCTTTTTCTCGTAATAATTGCATTCAAACTTGAAGCAGTCATTTTTAAAGCATTAGACACGTGGTTTTGCCTAGAGATTTATTAAGTTAATGTTATCTTGATTTATTTACATAGAAAGAATAATTACCTTGATATGGTGGTCGACGGGCTCCTCGCCTCTTCTGTAGACGAGCTCATCAAACCTCGCTCTATCCTCTGGTAACATGAATTCTCTTATCTCCGTCAGAAGAGTGTACTGTAAAGGAAATTCTCATGTATTATTTGTATACAGAAATAACAATGAAAAACTAACACGACTGAAATTGTTGGGGTTGCGAGCGAGTGAATGTAGGTTAAACAGGTAGATAGAGGAACAAAGGATACTGCTTTCGTGGAATATTTTGTGATCCGGTCTAAAACAGACGGTATCATCAACGTCCAAAATAAATGTGTATTGTTGCGGTATTGTAATAAAAATAGGTGTATGTATAAAATATATTGTGTACCTAGCCATCGTAATTGTACAATGTGGTCGATCACTATTTTGTTGCTGTATTACAGTACTATGTAGTAATGATGGTAATGCCTGCACCCCATGGTTTTATTCCTTTGCTACGATTCTTTATTTCGTGACGTAACCACATGCCGGTTGGTTATTTTGAGAATAAGATGTACACAATGAAAAAGACACTATGTAGGTATCGTTAAATTATTTTTTTTCAGATTACATTTAAGGGGAATTATCTTGGTGATATTTAATACACAATGTAACCGATTAATAATTTACACACAACAATAAATTCGATGAGATCAAAAAAAGAAAATAAGTACTAATATTAATGAAAAATACCCAAAGCTTCACAAATTACTTTAGCATTTCATAAAGCATTAAATCATTAATGAGTATAAACGGCAGCGTGGCTGCTAGCTAAAAGATAAATTATTGTTTGGTAATGTGACGAGCGTGCCTGCACAAGACATAAGTTAGACCGCGTGTGATTGATGATAATGTATTGATGTACCTACTACATGCTCACTTCATGACGTACCACAAATTACTTTAATCCTATAAAATCGCGCGGCGAGAGAAAATACTGCGGAATGAGATGTCTCACTGAACAAAATTCGGTACGTATTGAATAATGCAGTACAAGACGCCGAAGTAAAGGCACTTCTATGTGCTCGTTCCATAAAGAATGCTAGCGAAATTAGTGTCTATTGTGAAGAAAGATGGATCTATAAAGTTAGAATTGAGTCATTTCATTTTGCAGAAGACTTTTTATATGTTATAGGTACTTCACATATTAGTAGCGCAGTTATGTGCATCTACAGGACTTTTAGTAGTGTTAATATAGTCTTTCTCCATATTAAGTTTAGGCAAAATGAGCGAGTTTATTTACGAAGATACTTAAACTGAATTATAGCAGAGTAAATAATATATTTACCACTAAAAGTAACTAGTCATATCTACATAGTGATGGCTTAATCAACTGATCGGCCTATTTCCGAACCTCTACTTCATATCGAGAGATTCGATCGAAATAAATTGGATTTCTGTTTATCAATAAAATCTAGTTTCAGGTAAAGGTAAAGTTGGTTGCACAAGCTGACATTCACATTAGGTATGGTTGCCGTACGTTAATAAGTTAACAACAAACGTAATCAACAAGTACGTACGTACTTTGATTACATTTGTATTTTAGCTCAGTTCGTGAGTTGAAAGATAAACCAAGAATAATTAACAACGATCTCATTCCGAATCAATTGATTTTGTATAAAAGCCAAGATACAGAACTTAGCCGAGAAAATAAACGTTAGATAATACGTGATTTGACTTGAATGTATTTACGTCTTCGTCGTACAACTGAAAGACTACAAATGTAAGAAAGAGATGAGTATATATAATTTCCTCGCCTAAATTAGCCAGTAGTAATCCAATACATTATTCTTATGTTACAGCTTTTCCTTATTGCTTACGGGACAAAAGCCTGAGCGACGCACACAAATACTTTCATTAACATTTAGTGGATGTAAGTATTAGCGCAGAACGTCCCGAAATAGGGATCAGAGGGGCCAAGATAATAGGGTCGATAGAGGACAATCTGTACTTCGGCAAAGAAAGAAGTCTTTGAAAGTATCCGAAAACTGTTAACATACATTATACTTTTATGAGGTTGTTTACTTTGTGTTATTTTGTGTTCGAATTTCTGTTATTTATAGCTTTCCATACCTAGTACGTGAAAACATGTCTTCTGAGTCATGGTGACTCACTCGATCGAACGTTGGCGAATCATTTTCCTTTTAAGGCTTCGTCGATTTTCATAATCCTATGATTAAAACAGACCAAAATGGTAATATGCACCGAACTACAGAATAAGATTGTAGGTTTGAATGAAATGTTTGCCATTCTAACTAATTAAGATGAAATGAAGATTTCTTACATACATATATTGCTTCTCTTTACTTAATCAAATTGAATTGTGTAGGTCATAAGTAACTAATAATCGCTGTAGGCTTAACCTGCAGTGTTTATGTAACCACAGATGAATGAAACCGTCACCTAATTAACTACATAAACTGTCATCAGATACGTATGTGAAGTGACCTAAATACCGCGGGTCGTGGATTCGCAGCCTGTTTATGAATTATGGGCTCGATTCTCACACTGCCTTAAATTTGCATACAGCTATAAATAAAACCCTTATTTACTTTTAAAAAGGAATACTCACATAAGTCAAGTTCTAAGACAAATCTTGTAATTTTTTCGTAAATTCGAAATCATACCCGTACACAACGAAGGCGTATAGAGGTATATTATACAAATTTTGTACACTTTCAATTAATAAGATAAAGATTCCACTTAAGTCATAAATGTAACTGCCCTCAAGATTGAGCAATACCTACTATGTATCAAGTTTTTAGAGTTTATTTGCCTAAATTATCAATAATAAGAACTGAAACTGCATTAGCAGTGTAAAAAAGACGCTCTTCATCACCAGGACTTACAACTGCTAAAACCACCTTGTTTATACGATACTTTTAGTACTAATCAATCATATGGGAAGCTCCTTTAGTTTAGGTTAGGCGTAATCTGTGTAATTATGCATACATACATAACATCACGCCTTTTATCTCCGAAGGGGTAGGCAGATGTGCACATTACGAACTTAATGCCATATGGCATTAAGTTCGCCTTATGTACCATAAACAAATTATGTACATTAAAGAATAAATAAATAAAATAAATAAATAAATAAATTACGGCACTTAATGCCACTATACAATGTAACACCCACTTTTCACTATTTATGTTACGAGTCCCATGTAATAGGGTCACATATTGCCATATACCGGGCGTATTTCCAGACTCCGTGCTACTACTGAGGTTTTAAAAAAAACCAATAATACTTTGTCCGACCCGGGAATCGGACCCAAGACCCCTTGCCCGGCAGTCGCACTTGCGACCCCTCGGCTAATGGCAGTGTAATTATTTTATATACTTACATTAGTTTTTGGAGCAAATACTATAATGTAATAACGTAAGTTACCTTCTGTGGCGTATCTAGTAGATCTCTAACGACTGTGAGGAAGGAGTCTGGCGTAAGTCTCCTGGAGGCGTACTCCTCCATGTAGTAAGCGATGGCCGGCAGGTCGCACTGAGGCAGCAGCGACCGAGCCTTCTGCTCCACCGCCGTAGCCGCAGCACCACGACGCTTGCCCCAACCACTTATTCTACGACAATTATTTATTACAATTAATCAACAGTCATTATATACCAACTTATTGTATACTGCGAGACATAATATATTTCCATTGCTCTTCCAAACATGCTATTACTTCGTCTTTCACATCTTAAAGCGGTTTCCAGATCGATGACCCGAAAACATCTTTTTCTGCTCCATCAGCTATCGATTCCCTCTATGGTTCCCTCTACCTCTTTAACTGGTTAATTCAATGAGTACAGATCTTATCTTTGATAATCACTCCAGACAAAGCTTGTTCAATCGCAATTCATAATTTACCTTAAGTTCTAAATCCTATTTACTTAGATTAAATAAAGTAAAAAATAAAGGTATTGCCAAACAACAACGTAACAATGCTGCCAGTATTCTGGGAAATTTAATTAATAACAAAGAATATATTAAATACCCCATGAAATTTGATAAGGGACTTGCCAAAAAACTCAACATTCATCCGTTCATTAAAACAAAAAACACAATTCACTTGGGCTGGCAGTGGCCAGCCCAAGTGAATTGGCAGTGGCCAAGGGTACCTACCCACCCTTTGGTTGCCAAAATAATTTTATTTCAAAAGTATGTTTTAAACTTTTTAACAATCCCCAAGTTTCATATGTCCCTGTGATACTTGGAATATCGTAATGTCCTAAACATTTCTCAACTTGGTCAACACTGAGCCTGAGACTTACCAAATTCAAGTAAATTATTGTCTAATATTAATGAGGCTACATCTAGTTTTAAAAGTGAATAACAACCCTAGTTAGTGAGTCAATTAAAGAGAGTTTTGATACCTTGGAGCCGCATCCCGTTCCCCATATGCAGTGCAAGCATGAGGAACCTTCCCGACGTCTCGCACCACCAGCGACATACGTTTGTGATACTTGAGCTGTGCGACTGCCTCGTCATGCGTCACGTCGATGAACGACTGATTGTTCACCTCCAAAATCTGATCTCCAACCTGACAGAAAAATTAATTGATTATACAATAATCTTCTATAGTATTTCTAAAAGTAAAATAAGAGAATTTGTAGTTACTAGGTGGTGACATGTACTTTTAGATATCAATAATAGTTGGTATTCCTAATCGAGGAACAGCAATAAATTTAAAATACTGTATCTAATGAAATTTCTTGGAAAATTGTTAGTGGTAGAAGTTTCAAACATTATGAGGTACGGATGTAGAAGTTACGTAGCGTATAAAAGCGTAAGGTGGGTTCGAGTTTTGAGTTCAAATGCTATAAATTTGCCAACACACCTCGCACTACTACCCACGACACCAACTACCTAACTATAAATATTTGTTCAAGTAAGTAAATCTTTATTATCTTAGTTCTCTAAAAATAGGACTTCATTTAGCAGCGATGCTGAATATCATTTCCATAGAGCTGCAAGTTTAATGGGAAACAAACGAGTAATTTAGTCGACTTTGAAGCACCCTCAGCTGGCACTAACTTCGATGCAATTCCGTCTCACAAGGCCTCTTGCCTGCCGCCGCACAAGTTTTCCCGAGCTGGGTGTCGCGTTAATTTACAACGAATTGCACCAAACTAAGCGCACTAAATTGAGATTTATATTCGCAGTAAACTTACTCTGCATACTTTAACAGAACGGTGTTATGTTTTAAGTTATTCAAATCAGTTTTCTTTTACGATTATGTTCACTATCATTTTACAAATTAAGAATCTAAAATTTAATGTACTTTAAGAATAATATATATATGTATATATATACTGTTAACAAAATATAATATCTCTTAACTTCATATGTAGGTAGGTATACATTTCAAATATCAAATCAAAGGTTTGGTTCATGTTCTTACAATGTCGTCTCAGATTTCTATCCTACCTACTGCCTATCATATTATTTGACACCCAATATACTCAGTTGTCATTCTTTCATATTCAGTCATCTGGTTATTTATTATAAATAAAGATATTCTAAAACTAGTTATCAACGTCAAAATAAATTTAATGTACTCCGACTAACAATGTAAAAGCAATCACATTATTAGACTTTCAAGAATATTATGTTTCATTCCGAGCACTATCAGCTGTCCAAAGACTTAAAATAAGCTTAATATAGAACAATAATTACCATAAGTCCCGCTCTATCTGCGACGGAATCCTTGTCGACCCCAGTGATATAGATGCCGAGGTTGTACTCGAGCCCTCCTCTTATCATTAGTCCTAACGACTGTCCTGGCTCTATACAAAGGTCGACCTGCACATAAACTCATAGATTAGCTATTTATTACGGAACATTAGTGCTACGCAACAAACATGAGTATAATGAAAATGCGTAGTACATGGAGAAAATTCATGGCATTTCGGATAGAACATTAAGGAAATAGCTATTAGGGAAACGCTTGGCACGTTACGTGATTATAATGTAAAGGCCCATAAACACGTAATCTGTGCTCACAGCGGCTTAAGAATGGCTTCATTCACCAAGCTATAGTATATCATGATCAGGGTCAGGCGTGATGCGCGCCATGTCACGGAGATCGATGCGAGCGTTGCGGCCCAACGTCATTACAACCACTAACGACTGAATTCTGTGGTGAGTTGACTACGATTAACATACCACAAAGCCACCCACCCTCTGCTAACCTCAATATGCAATGACATTAAATATTTACGAGTTACGGAATTGACTATAAAATTTATGACGTCATAAATTAATTTACGCGTTTATAAGAAATTGTCGTCATCCTTGATGATTTAAACCAATAAGTAAATGACGTCTACGAATACTTTTGAGGCATAAATGTTGTTTTCATGAATATATCTAATTAATATCACATTAACTGGCATTTTAAACTATTATTAATGGCTAGACTCTTTTCTAGTATCATCTCACCCTACGTACGGAGCGGTCTTTGCTTGAGGACCGCGGTGGACGCAGCGGTGGCGGCGATGCGGGTCGTCCGTACCGGTCCATCCACGAGCATGAGGCCCGTCCGACCAGTGCGCCTGCTGTCCGCACAGTCATCGTCAACTGACGACACGATTTCAGCATCTATTGAAAATATACAATTTAAAGCAAAAGAATATAACATCCATATATTGTTTCAATAAATTTAAACAGATACCAATATTGAGAGACTGACTTTAAGAACTGTAATACATAGTAAAACATATTGGATCTTCTTTCGTGTGCATAAAATATACACGTACAATAACACAAATTTTATTTTGTATCGCGTATAAGTTTACGTTTCTCATAAATGTGCCGTTATGCCATCCAATACCCATAAAGTAACTTAAGGTCATATAAATCTTAACAGCCGAAACATATTCGGGTTCAGCTTTAAAAATAGAGTCAGTAGGTGAGTCGTTAGTATTTACCATAAAACTGACTTTGGTAGTAAAATTTTTGAACGTGCGCCAGGCACAAATAATACAACACACGCCTAATAACATAACATAACGCCTTTAATCCCCGAAGGGGTAGGCAGAGGTGCACATTGTGCCACTGTACAATGTAACACCCACTTTTCACCATTTATGTTATGCGTCCCATGTAATAGGGGATGAACCTATTGCCATATGCCGGGCACAATTCCAGACTTCGTGCTACTACTGAGATTTTTTTTAAAAACCCACTTATACTTTGCCCGACCCGGGAATCGAACCCGAGACCCCTTACCCAGTCGCACTTGCGACCACTCGGCCAACGAGGCAGCCTAATAGTATTACATGTAATTATTATATACAGGTAAATGGTATAGTTTTGCAATCCCCAAGTATACAAACATATTATATATAGCCACCCAGCTACGTTTACATAGTTCGTACAAAGAAATGCTAGGGTTAGGCACGCAATCGCCCTAAAATAGGACAACTTTATCAAAGGGACCGTCAGTAAAAAATTGCAGGGGTTGCTCAAATAAAGGCCTACATAGGTCATATTCGCAAACTGTTTGTTGGAGTAGTCTCGTATTACATTGTATAAATATTCCTGTAGAGTGAATCAAGATTTTACGACAAAATTTGTCGAATTACACTTTTACAACCTAGTTATTGCTGCTTAACTCCATTTCCACATACATTTAAAAGTTTAAAAGGAAGTTTATTCGTAGTTTTGGGTTCGTTTAATAAAAAGCATCTACTTTTATTTGTGTGATAAAATCTTGTCAGCTGATAGTTTGCCTCGGTGGAGAGACGGTCGGGACAGCCTGGCGACATTCGGCCAGCCGGCGCGGCGCTACTGCCCGCTCCCTATCTGACATATAAAACTGCCACATGCTTTTACGTAATAGAACAAGTTAGATGAGATATATCAGTGAATACAAATCATATTTTTCCTGACTACTGATTTTGTAAAATATTAGTAGATACGTTTATACGTTTGTAGTGGATTTTACAAAAACGGAATAGTGCCTAAAGATAAAAGTTAATGATATGTATGAATAACAAAATGTCTTTGTAACGGAACAACTATAGTCGTGTTTTACAAAAAGGTCTCAGTAAATGTCAGGAAGCGACATCGTAAATCAAGCGATATCGTCAAGTGCGGAAGGAAAAGTCCGACAACGTCTGCAAAAATAGTACCGCTTACCTGACCCACGCGGCACTCACTATACCAACTATTTATCCAGTTCCTAAATGATATTTCTAAATATTTTGCGATGATTCACATGAAACAAACATTTTCTATGTTAGCACAATGAAATATATAATAAAGAAACGTAATTTTGCCAACAAGACTTCTGCACAAACACTCATAAACATCAACAATAACTACATAAGATGGGCACTTGCTAAATGAAGGCCATTATAACTTAGAAACAACTGACAAAATAGAACAGCCATTGCCAATATCATTCCAAGTACAATCCTGAATTGTTCCTTCGAAGAAAGTGATAAACTTTTCCGAAAAGAAAATATAAGAAAATAAAGAAATAGAATTGTAACCTGACTTTTCTTAGAAATGTATATGACTTAGTTAAGTTTATTTGACTAAGTCGATTATATAATTTATCTAAAGAAACTTCCGTGCAAAACAACTAGAATCAAAGTTGAGAACAATTCGATAGACGTTTGTAGGTTATAGTAGTAGTTAGGTAAATTTGTATTTATTTTCACTAAAAAGGTACATTAACAATAAATAACTGAATAAGGGTGTTAGTATTTTTACATAAAAGTTCTAATGAGCTTATCTTTAAATCTAGCTATTTAACACTATTTCTTTCAAACAAAAACAAACCCAGACTCATTGGTTGTTTATTAAATGGAGCGAAAATTGATAATTACGTACGTTTGTGTATAAAAAACAATTTTACGCGAATGAATTTGAAAGAAAATTAAATTGCTGGCTAGGTGTGCCACTACAGTTCACATTGCGAAGGAAATAGAAAACGTCCCTCTATCGTGTCCAGCTGTCATTTTTGAACCAACAGCAATGTCGTTTGCATGTCGAATATATTCTGGTTGCAGTAAAATGTAAATGTAACGTACAATAAAATACGGAAAAATTTCGAAAAATATTAGTTATTAAGTTATGGTTAATCGTAATACTTATTAGAATCGGTTCTCTTTTAACACGATACAAACATAGCAAGTATAGTAATGTTTATTTCATTCGGACACCGGCGCCGTTCAGAACTCTTATTTGAGAGTGTATATTACTCCCAATTGAACAATCAGCGGCTTCACGGACAAACTAGTCGTGGGCTCAATGAGGCCATTTGTATACATTTTACATCATTCCACCCCATTCGTTGTTTGATACGGCACCATTTAAGCCCTTTGCTTAGTCCGTAATACTTGGTAGTGTTTTTAACAAATTTAAAAAACATAGCCCGCACGACATGTATGTACATTGTGTTTGTTTCAAAACTCCGATTTTGATTTATTTATTTACTTCATTTTATTAGAAAATTACAGAGAATGGCAGACTTAATGACTCAAGACATTCTCTGACAGTCAACTGTAGAGAATTGGGGTTCATTTTAACATATGTACTCATGAAATGGAAAAACTAGTGTACTTTTCCTGTAAAACTTTTCTCTATACATAGAAATACCATTTCTATTTCCCGATGTCGCACACTGCGAGTCGATATTAAACACGATCACTTCGAGTTCCCTGTGACAGTTAGATAAATATATTGCCTTATACATTACGTCCCAAGGGATATATTCCTTTTCAGATATAGTCTTGTCACTTCTTAAATCATAAAAGGAGTCAAAACTTCACTGTAATAAATCTTTATAAGAAAATTTATAAATTTTATGGACAACACGAAAATATTCAAGACAAGGAAAACAATTTTTATTCCAGCCTGGAAAGATTAAAATTTAAAAAAGCTTTTAGCGTTCAACATTACATGTAATATGCATAACGTTAACTCCCGAGACCAGACTGCAATATAAATCACATAATTATCATCCGGTAAGTGTTTTCCACGGCGTATGAGAGGATGAGCTCGTCTGCGCTTGCTAACACTTTGTATAATAACGTCACTCGAGTGTTCTAGACTTTTGTACCTCCTCTAATTATTTTTTCTCATTTATTTTACTTTTGCACCGAATACGCAATATTCAGTTTTCATTTGAGATTTAATCTATGTAATAACGACAAATTATGAGATGTCCTATTTAAACATTAGAATCTCCTCTTACCAAACCAATAAAACTGTCCTCTATGTATGTATGTTTAGGTCTTCAAAAACAGCCGTAATTAAAATTTATCTCATGAAATCCGTACCAAAAAAAGACAAAAGAAAACAGCCGCAGCCCACAACAAACCGAGCTCCGGCGTAAACCTGCATTATTATCTTTGTGTAAATTGACCGAGATCCCAAAAAATAAATGGTTCATTCAGGAAAACCGAGAGCCTTTTGTTTAGGCAGGTATGTTGGAGTTAACTGTTTAAAACATTCTTAACAGACGAACTGTTTTGTAGTGAAGGCATTTGGCGCGCGTCACTTACGGTCATTTGGCTTACCGTCAGGACAGAGTGCCAACAGCAACAGGTCTCACTTGAGCCTCCTCATATATAATAATCACCGTGTAATTCACAGATATCAACCGCCTAACTATATGCTAATTTAGAATCCAAGTTAACGAGGTGTTTGACTAAACTAAGCTGATGAATAGGTTGACTACGTAATTAGATAAGTACTGAAACAGGTGTTGGTAACATTTACAAACGATAATAACATTTATCAAATCGCGGACTAGTTTTATATTATTTATCAGGTAACGTAGTCATTACATTCATTCACTACGGTCTTTGCAATGTGAACGCGGTCGTAAAAGTACATGTAAGAAAACTTACATGTTAAATATATATATTCTATTTCTACAGGCGTAGGTAAGTATTAGTACATTTTACGCAAAATTTCTTACCTTAAGAGCATCTTCATGCGAGATCCCGGAGAACGGAGTGCCATTGACTTGTAAAATGGAGTCTCCAGGGCGCAGACCCGCACGCTCCGCCACCGATCCTTCTTCCACTCTCGATATGTACACACCTACGCCTAAATATTATTACATTAACTAAAATTTATACAACTACATTACAACTAGCCAGTTAAGCAAAATTAAAATTAACGAAACTCGAATAAAACAAAAATAACAGAAATTCGAAATTGCTCCTTATTATGGCGCCAAAATAAAATAAATCCATAGACAATCCTAAAAGTTTTTAAATTTAAATGTTTTGTCTTAGACCCTTAATAAAACCTTACTGGAAAACCACAATGCGTATGAGGTTTTGGTCAACTTTACAGCATATTCAGGCTGGATAAATTCAGGTATGAAACTCGTATAATTTGAAAACCGTGCTACAATGTAACCTCCACAATGGGGCTCTATGCAATATAAGCAGAAGAGGATCTTATCTTGTGTGGTTGGATAATAATACTCTGTGAACTTCTAAAAATGTTGTTAACATATCTGCAAAATTATTACACATAAGTATTTTTAAATTGAGGTGTAAAATGATGTAATTTTTTAAACGTAACATAACATAACATAATGTTTACGTACACACGTAAAAGGAACTACTGAAAAGTATTCTATAGAAGGCATTAGGTATGTCTTTTCTAGCTAGTTTCAAAATCTTAACTTAGTGTTCTAACACGAAATTAGTTGTTTTTAACGATAGACAGAAAAAACAGCGTTGTTATTTATGTCCGTATTTTATTCGACGTGCAATTTAAAAATGTTTTCTTGTGGGTGCGATTCCCGGATAATAGCCGGCGCGCATTTTCTCGTAAGAGGTTTTATGCAATTTAAATAACCCGCCGCGCGCCGCCCTACCGTCTCGTCTGCCAGTCGAGCGGGATTATCGTTTGAAGTTGCCACAACCGACCCAGCCCGACTAAACAAGACAGAATGATATTTTATATTCTTTTAAAACCTTGACTTAAGATCGCTACTAAACTAAGGCTTATGTACTACAATGTCGAGTACGATTTTGTCTCAGATATATTTTGGCTATAAAGACGTTGTTTGTAATTTATTTTAATACAGCATGTTGAGAACAAGTTAATAATAAGAATATGTAATTATCTTAGTCAATTAACACAATAAAATCTACTAAGAACTTAGAAAAAGCTTATACATAAATCATAATTAATGCTAAAAACGAAAAAAGCACTACTTCCCTCAATCTGACAAATCACAATTCAAATAAAGAATTAACATACACACAAATGCCTTGTACGTGTTCGATTCAATATACACAAGGGATTGCCTTCACCAATAAAGAAAATTGTAACGATACATACACACGTAAAGCGTGTTTCACAAATAGCATGGGGTCATTGTTTAGGTACTGATCGCTCTCAGAGCTATTTGCGTACCTCCCACGCTTGCTAATAATCGATAAATCGCTCGTCCCTAGCCTTTCGTGATAAAACAAACTCACGATTTCAGCTTTAGAGGATACAGTGACTAATGAATGAAAATAAATCGATAGGTTTAATAAATAAATCGATAGGTCTGAAATGCCGCCGTGGCACTGTTCGGAATACTACCAAAAATGTATGAAACAATTTCGCTATGTCTGCCTTTGAATTACTTTAATAGTTTTGGCACCGATATAGGTTTTGTTTACTATTTAATCCCCTGTTATTACTCTATTTTTGTCTGGCAATCTACGTACTGTGTGATATATATCAGAATGTAAGAGGCAGTTGCGTGTATTTGTTTTATCCGCAGAGAAAACATTTCACTAACTGTTTTCTGTTTCACGTATCCGTGCTTATTGCAAATAAACGGTTCATCACGTGTTCGCTGTCTGTCTGACAAGGGTATTACACTGAGAACATTTTATCCAAGGAAGGTTCCCACCTGCCTCCTTCCCTCCTTTGACACAGATGCCAAAGCCATGCGAGTCGGCAGGGTCTCGGCTCATGGTAACGGTTCGCGTGGCGGGTTCCGCCGGCGGCGGCGGCGCCCCACCCGATGAGTACGGCCGCTCACGTTCACCCCCTCGGTATATTGCCTGTCGACAAACATCATATATTAGCAACAATAATTACTAGCAGCAAGCTGCAATACGATCGTAATTAAAGACATGCCAAATACCGTCTATCGGTCTATGTAAATAAACAATACATAGATATAGGTAATTGTGTACCTACTGGCTTTCCCTTATCTAACTTAGAACTTGTGCTTTCCAAGGATCAGTTTGTAAGTAAGGCCACCCACATTCCTACGTGTCGGGAAGAGGACAAAAAGCCGTCAGCGGTCCCAGATGGCAAATAAACATCTATGATAGTCGTAGCGCTAACCAGCAGAATCTAGTTAAGATTTAGTGCTGACCCCAATTTAGATGAAAAGCGGAAAGATAGCAATTTTTAACAACAATTTATATTTTAACTATTTTAACATCGATTCTCCATGGCCTCAGTCTCTCAAACAGAAATAAATTTCATTGTGTCTTCTTGCTTTTAAATAATATTCCTACCACACCGCTATACTACAAAAAACCGTAACTCATAAAATATCTGTTATTGCAAAGTTTTACTAAGTTACTAAAGCTTCGTTTATATTGAAGTAAACGATGAAAGACGTGAGTGATGGTGCTGTTAACTACTTAGATGAAAATTATGTTTGGTTAAAAACTAACGTTGCGCCGCCTTCGCTCAAGAGATGCTATTCAATTACTGTCGAAGGCAGAAGCTTATTATTGTCTACTGTTAGGAAGATAAATATCTTAAGCGTAAGAAATCAGATTTGATATATAATGAGAACATAATTTTATTATGGTAGGTTTATTTTTATCAAAGTCTAAATTCATACATATATAAATCCGCGAAATATTAACCTTATACTCACTCAAACAAGCCATAAACATAATTTTCGCCCCAGGCTCGTATGTTCGAATTAAAAACACAGTAACATGTACCTAGGTAGCAAACTTTAGTCGGTAGGCTACCGTCGCGGTCGCCTTCCGCATTTATTAATTTTTCACTAAATGACGTGTTTCCTTTACATTACGACGTGACCTGGCATGTTTGACGGTGTTTTCCAAAATAATAACACAACCACATAGGAACCAGTACCCGCTCTCTGCGTGCTTACTTGTAATCAAATTCTAATCCTTTATACTTCAATAAGGTGCAATACAAAAGGGTATTTTGATCCAAATATAGAGGCAGGAAATGATTTCTAGAAACGCGAGTGACTTCTCAAAGAATTGTTTCCCTCAATATTGTACTCGACGGGGCGTTCATAAGCAATAAAACGTGCTCCCCTTTTTTGCGTAAACAATGTTTCTCGAGGCGAACGTTTAACATCTCAAAGAAGTTGTAGTAACCGTCCGCCCTCGGATAGCGCGCCGCGCCGCCCCGCGCCGCGCGCTCTCCCGCCCCGAGATCACAGCTCGCGTTCCGCCACGAATATTTTCATCAGACCTCATCTGAGGTTTACTTCAAAACTGTGCTTTCGCTTGCATTGTACAATGAATGCATGAATTCATGCATATTTTATTCCACGTCTTTTTAAGTGTCAGTTGCATTACGGTATAAATTTTCAAAGGCTTCGTTACAATAGGATAAGAAAAGTAACCTTGTTTCACATAAAAATGTTTGTGAGAATTTGATTCATCTAATTTGAATTTAGGTGGGCGAATCTTTAGATTACTTTTAGAGTTCCAAGAAAAGATTATAGACGTTTTTAATGAATGCATAAGAACTCCTTAATAAAAATCCGGTCTTCCGTGAAAACCTTGAAGAGTAGAGCACGTTAAGCTAGAGATCCCAGATAGCTAGTAGTTCGAAATCCTAAATCTGTCGACAGGGCCAACTAAGAATATGGTATCCCGGTAGTGGATTTAGAAGGTCCGCTACAAATAATTTCTGCTTCCTAAGAAAATTGTCATTCAATCGAATGTGGTTAATACTCAATGCCCACAGACTCCGCCCATTACCACCAGTTAGAAAATTGTTACAGTTCTGAATAACGTTTTTAATACTTACTCACTTACGATTACGTAAAATGAAATACAATCACATTTTATCTTGCAACGTTTTAAACCTCGAACAATTGAGTTCCTATTATTTCCGTAATAAGACTCGGTATATGCAGATTTACGTCAACAAGTGTATCCCAGCTGTAATCGCTCACAAGCCACCCACCGGGAATACCGACGGCTCATACAACTTTACTAAAGATATCTTACACTTTCCAACAGTGATTAACTGCTCGCTTTCAGTTTGCGATGTTAATAGCCCCTAAGTACACGTCTTTAATTGATTAGAACCAAAAGTTCAAAAACAGCTATTATTGCAACCGAGTTTTCAGGTTCAATTTATACGTTTGAACAAAGTGATTCATCAGGTCTACGGAATCGATTTTTGTACGTATTGATTAATATACTTGAAGATAATTGAATTATTTACCTCATTATTCTGGGTGGAATCCAATTTGGAATGTCACTTAGATATGTGTCACTACACCAGCTGACACTGAGAAACATCACGCTGTTTCAAGACCCTTTAAGCATTCATTTTCTTACTCGTTTCTGATCAGAAACTTATAGCATCAGTAACGTAGGTCACGTGAATAATTGTTTTAAAGTTCAAAAGTCGGTAAAACAACACTGTTTCCTTTTTCACTACAACTCTTTAACGTTTTATTTACTTTATACTTAGTTAAATACACTTGAGGTCTCGCGACTAACCACATCAGCTTCGAGGAAATGAGACCGTCGTCGCCTTCGTCAACGAGTCCGGCGTTCACAAATTGAAATATTTATCGTTCCAACATTGAAAAAAGCAATGTAATTGGGTCAAATGGCACGACACCGCCCTAACGATTTTACGATAAAGTTAGGGAAAGTTTGCGTAAAATCACAATTTGTTGTTTAACTTGCACAATAAATAGCGGTTAAATACAGTGTAAACCTCACTGTCTCCTGAAAGCGACTGAACGTAGCGATGACAGTCGCACCGATGGTGACCATGACACCATAAGTTTTGTATGGACACTCCTACACGTACCAATAACAATATTTTTATTGCAAAGGTTAATTATTTCAAAATACCTAACTAACAGCCAATCGGGGACAAACCAATCCGAAATTTCAAACATGACACCTGATCCAGTTACTTGTTAGACAAGTAACCTAAGTACATATGCGGATAAAGCAAAACCCATTCATTTCTGTGCGGCCATGTCCACATTGTCGGCACCTAAACGGTCGCCGCTGTGGTCATGAATAAAGTAGTGGTATCGACTGGCGAGCTCGGCCTCACCCTGGAATAATTTACACACATGACACCCCTGCCCCCGCCCTACCTCATACACAGCTATTTTTGGAACTTTAATTCACCCACTGACATCCTTGACGATACTAGTATTGATTCAATAATTGCTGCACCACCGCAATTTCAACAGCTGGTCTAATTCAAGGTTCCGTTCCTAAGAAAATGTTTTAATTATTTTGGATATAAACGGTACTAACAAGAATCTTATACCTAATACTGTGCTAATTGCTAACAGCTAAAGCAAAAATCAAGTCATGAATAATTGAATAGAAAGTTATACAACGATTGAGACTCTAATTAATCACGAAACGTTCTCGGAATTAACCTCAATTTCTGGCGAGCGCGGTAGGAGGCTAATTTAGTAGTGCTCCAGTTAGGTCGCGACAGCATCTAAATAATGCAATTACTTATATTAAGAGCACTTACATGATGCGTAGTGCTGCTGGGACTGCTGGCAGGGGAGTGCCTGCGAGCGGGTAGGGGTGCAGGCAGAGGCGCTGGAGGATGCGACGGCGGCAGCGCTTTCCCTAGTGCTGCAGCGCCACCTTGTCCGAACAACCGAAGCACCTGTTCCGGCGATATCGGTCGTTTCTTGCCGTTCGCTGCACTCAAGTGGTTTGTACTGTTTCTTAAGCTCGTTGCCCCGGCTACATAAAAATAAAACATATTAGGCCAGTTCTGTACATATTCAGTGCTCTAAGGGTAATGTAAAACAGATTTTGTTTCTTATAAATGGTTACTATGATTCTTATCATTCATTTAGCAAGCACCTGCACTATTCGCAATAGTCGTTGAACCGAGGTAGGGTGCCCGGGACAGCTTCCCCGCGTAATGATGGGAGTACGAGGTGTGGTGGCCATGCGAGGAGGCTGGTCTCTCCACGATGGTGTACGATGTGCCGGGCGGCGAGTAGTACACCCCGCCCCGCGCCCTGCCTCTCGCGTCTTCTGCCTCATAGCTCGTATGCCGATTGTCCTGTAACCACTAGTTTCATACAACATAACCCTACGACACTGGACTGGTAATGAACGTATACGTATCAAACATTAGTAAACTAGATCATTGCAATGCGCGTTGGTTCAAAAGGCCTGACACAATATTATGTGGTTTTCAATTATATTATACCATACCAATCTAATGAGGGAGAGTGTTTTGGACCATATATTTTAATCGGTAGAGTGAAAAATTACATGGTTATATAGAGTCCGTAATTAGGTAACACCTAAATTCATCCAACGCAGGAGAAGTCATTTGGGTAAATTTCCGCATCTAAGATTATCAGATTTAAGATTATGTGAAAAATAACGTCAGACACAATCGAAAAGTTACAGGTAAAAGACGGCCAAAATAAAAAGCAACAAACGACCCATATACAGCGACATACTCTTTAGAGTTCTTTTTCCTAAGTCACGTTCAACAGCTGTAACTCACACATGATACCGCAAAATTACATAAATTGAACCAATTATGTAGAAACGAAAAAAACACGTTGCCGAGGAAAATTGGAAATGAACACCAGTTTCCTGACTATACAAATTGTAGGTGTACCTTCAGATAAGTGCTATTTATGTATACATGCTAATAATGTAACTGAATTTACAACCTCTCGCGTGCGATAGCATAAAGATATCTATGTTTTCAACGTGGTTTTTTCGTTCCTTCTTTTTTCTTTAGCAGATATGTAAATTACAAGTAGGTACCTACGTGTAAGTACCTACGTATATACTCGTGATAGTAGTTACAGTGTGGTGAACTCTCCACACTGTAACTCTTATTTAGTGATATAAAACTGACATAAAAATATAACATGTGACATGCCAATACCTCGTTGTCTCATTTCACTTTAGATAAAATTTTGTTTCGGGTCACCCGGATAGGAAAGGTCTTTTTCCCTTTTTCCATCTGCCTTTACTTTAGAATCCGGTTATCTAATTCTACAGCCGCCTAAAACAGGCAGATGTACCTGGTGGCTCCTGGAGTGCCTGGCGAGGTGATGTGCCGGCGGGTGCTGCGGTGTGGCGGAGCGCGTCCACCCGTAGCCCTGGTTGTAGGGCGGGGGCCAGCGCGCGCCGAACTCGGCCAGCTCCGAGCCCTCGCCCGCCTCCCCCGACCTCATGCCGGGGGTCACGATGCTTTCTACAACAACGAAAACACAAAAATACATATGCCACTCAAAGAAAATGTTCACATCAATGAACACAACGTGAAATACACAAAGATTTACTTCTTATCTTTTTGCAGGTAAGTAAATAACCACAAAGTAATTTGTACTGAAATCCGAATGATATCTGTCAGGTTTTACTTAAAAGTATTATAACGTTCAGTATTAATACCTACAGCTGAAAATAGAACCCCAGAGCTTGTTGGCGCCGAAAACTCTTGAAAATAACCGTTTTCATAATAATATTTATTAAAACCTAAATCTTTAAAGAAACTCTAACAGAATTCAGGTAGGTAAGTCATAAAGAAATATTCGGGACGATGAAGCTCGTCGTCGTAGTGTTGCGGTATAAAATATTACTCCTCACTCGGGGGACAGGATCCAGTAAAATTTGTTATTAAAAGAGTTCACAGAATTGGGACAAGTTTCTCGTCACGTCTAAAAAAGTTTAAGATGGGGGACATAATTCGCAGTTCGCGGCGCGCGGCGCGGTGCCGTCGTCCGTCGTACTAGGCAATTTAGCGAAGGAAGTAGTAAGCGTAACACCTGGGCGCGGTCCAATTTATGGGACCGTCGACTCGAGCTTCGATCGTGAACCGCGACATACATTTTTCATGGACACTAGTTCATTCACTGTTTTCAATTATTTACGAGCAATTGCCAAAAGTCGGTTCGCATTTTAAAGATGTAAATGTTTAGTGAATAAGTGCTTGTAGAAATTCAATTTCTTCAATGGTTTTTATGTCTTGTAAGTTGTTGTTTTATACTTGTTATATACTTTGGCTGGCTTTGTAGATGAATTTTTAATATATTGAAAAAAAAAAAATTACCCGTAACTCATCTATAAGGTGCGTTGTTCTATTGTAAGCTATACTGAAGTCGACAACATGCTTGTCTATCGGCCTACCGTCTACCCGAGCAAAATATCGCTGTAATATACTTTCTTAATCAGCAGAACTTGAATGACCACTCCCATAATTCGTAGCAGACAACTCAGACAAGTTCAGTACACCTAAGTCGTAAACTGTCATAAAGTCAGTAATGAGGGCTTAAGTACAAAATAAGCTTCCGACCATTGGGCGCGATGTCCGGTGGCGTGGCGGTCGACTTCCGGTCACCTCGGCCCTTTGAAAGCCGTCTTGTTTATGTGCCATTTATGTATGCTAACATTCAAGTAAATACACCAGCCCATTGAAAAAAACGCTTACTGTGACGACAACTAGTAAATGTATTGCTATTTATTCTTAAAATCTGTAAACAGTCACTTTGTGTTGTTATTCTGTGGGATTTTTTTACATAGAAACATCAAAAGATTTGATTTGAGAACTAGCGTTTATTGTTTCTTACTTTGTATTTCGGATAATACAATTGCAAATGTGGTTAAATAAGACTCGAATACATAGCACAATCTGACGAATCGCCTTCTAATTTCTAAAGGGGTGTACGTACACACTTTTAATAATCGTCTAACTAAAAAATATAGTCTGCAAACAAGCACCTAAAGGGCTACCTACCTATTCTTATAGAATAACTATGATTCAGTAACTACTTAAAGCTTGACAAACCAGTTTTCACTCCACTATGTCAAGAAAACGAAAAACTGTACCAGCTAATTAGGAAAATGTAGGATTTTATTGTTACCTGCACAATGCTCTCTGGCATTTATTAGCCGCAAGGCAACTAAATATAATGTATGTAAAATTTAATCTGAGGTAAAAACTAGAACCTTTTAGTATTATTTACGTAACGAAACGTAATAAAAGGAACCCGTGAAATAAGGCCATGTTATATTATACTCAATACTAACTAGTACCTAAAAGAATAAAGAGGTTTTACTTCACAGTTACTAACCTTTATTTTAATAATCTATTTCGTGAAAAAAATAATTATATAAAATAATCTTTATCGTTTTTTATATTTTTTTATCGATTCACGCCGGTTCTGAGGATAAAAATGCTTTTAAATTATACTATCTATAAAATAATTAGCTGTAACAAAATGATAGGGCTTGCTTTCGTAAAAAAAAATGGAAAGAAACATATTTTATAGCTTTTCATCATAAGTTTAGTTTTATTTTTAAATATTTGAATAAAGTAGTATTGATTTTATTAAAACAAAATTAGATTCTATTAAAAATTCTATCTAATTCATTGGACGATTTAATTATTGGTTCTAAAAAGTGTAACCAAAAACGTAGAGCTAATTTTCACTCATTTTATTTTTACAGTTCCCACCAGTATCGATAATGTCCTTAACTAACTTATTAATGTCCTTAACTTAACAAAATAGGTTTTACTGTACCTAACATTAAAGTTATTCGATATTAACTTCGTTTATCATCAGTTTTGGCAACATACACGACACCTACTTCCAATTGCTCACTTTGGCCCAATTTCAATTGCACTCTCCTGCATTATAAACGACTTTTTGTTGGTACAAAATAAAATTGAATAAGTAAAATAGGCAAAGGTAGCAATCCATTGAATTTTGTTTTTGTATTCACTTGATTTGGGTAGAGCATATGCCATTTGTCTAGAGAACAGGTAGTAACACATTACGTCCATTAAAAAGCAATTGTTTTAACATTCCGTGTTTATATGACGAATTCAATTTTATTTTATGATTTGTCATAAATGCTAAATACTCCCAAGGGGTACGACATTTCAGTTTAATGCTCACTGCGACCTGCATTATTGCAGTGGCAGATGACATGATTCCGTGAGTTGATGAAGCAGTAACCAAACGCTGGTCGGTTGCATAACGTCTGCACTGCGGCCATAACACAATAGGTACATATCTAATTGGATAATATAAAATGTATGCATGTACGAGTTATACGACCAAACGGACTATACCCTAACTTTTGTTCAAGGTAAAATGAAATAGAAATGCTTTTTTTTCATTTTATTAGATCTGTTACGTACACCTATGTATAAATCAACGGATGTTTAATAAAACATCTGGGGAATACTCCAGAATGGTAAATTGCAATGCGCTTCATAAAACATAGTGCCACAAGATATGATGTACATAATCCTACCTTTTTGTAATACTGTAGTATTTTTGGTACCGTACCTGGATATACAAATACTCACGATGATTTGCCCAATCCCAAAAATTCATTCTAAAATTACTATTGTATTGTACGTAATTATAAAAGAAGCTGAAATTGTAATTGTGTAAAAGTAATCGTCTGCCTTTGTCATGTTGCCGTATGATACAAAAACCTTGAAGAAGCTAAGCTAAGAATGACCTGTAAATAGCCGCGCCACGAATAGCCGAGGCTACGGCTTTGACTGCTTATCCAAAGGTTGCAAGTTCAAAACCCATTGAACTCACCTAGATTAGCAACTGGTAATTACTATCTACTTATGAATGTACGTACCCTGTAAGCGCAGATCACAAGAAAAGAACTAGAAACAGCGATTCAGCTAAACTACAACAAAATCGGCTCACATAGTCCAAATAAAAAACAGAGACACTTATTTACTTACAAATCAGTGCAACAGTTGACAATAATGCTACTTAGGCTTAAATATTATTGAAATACATTGGCCAAACGAATGCAATTTGTTTGTGATAATTTATCTCAGCGAGTTCGAAGGATGGACGGGTGAATCTTTGGCTGAGGGCCAACCCCACCCGACCGCCAACGGACTCGCATCCTACAACTTTATATCAGTTTTACGTCGTGCCACTTCATGTCTCATACATTTTTACTGTCGTCGGTGAAACATTCCAAAATGGTATAGGTATAACGGAATTCATTATACTTTATTTGCTTTCCTGAAGAATTTTTGATCACAATTTACATTTTATTTTTATGTAAAAGAACAATTGCTTTTCTTGTTCTAGAAATTGTACCTATGCTTACCATTAGGAAAACTCCACTGAAACATAAGTACGTTACGAAGTTAGAGTTAGCACAATAAAACTGGAATTTCCTACACAATAACGGGATGTTTTAAAAATAACGACTGCCATAATACAAAGCTGGTCTGTCTGCATAGTAAACAAATACAATATCCAAGTACGGTTACATGTTGGTACATTGAACGCCGCCAGATACATGGGAATGTACTTTATAATAAACCTGGCATATTAGTATACACGACCATAAACTCGCACACACACATATCGTAAACAAAACTGCTCGACGTGCGCCCTAATTGCGCCCGTGCGCGTAAGTTAATAAAAAACCTTTTAGACCTGTGGAGAGTACTACCGTAAAATTCACTTTTTTAAGAATAAAGTTCAGTCGCTGGGATCCTTCAGGAGCTAGGCGATGTTTTTACCTTATAAATCCAATTCTGCAGTCGTTGGCACGAAAATAGCCTTCCACATTTTTTGTACTATTTGCCCACTTTAGTAAGACAAGTCTAGATATTTTAGCTACTAAGGAAAGGAGTTGAATTTATTTATATTTTATATGGGCTGCCTCCTTTGAGCTTTAAAATTTTGTAATTTTATATTTTTCACTATGATCTTTATGAGACGAGGAAAATAAAATTCCCTGTAATTTTTATTTTTCTTATTTGTAAATTTATTATATTAAACAAACTCCACGCAAATTCTAATTAGAACAAAAATAGAAAGTATAAATTATTTATAAACCTAGAACCGCTAACAAGGTAGGCTGGATTTTGTTCTCATTAATTATTTCAGAGGTTATGATAAAAGTTTGTGGACCCTAGACAGTGCGTAGGCGTGGGCTATTATAAAAATGTAATAAAATAACCAGATTCAGCCTGTAGCTATAAAAAAAAGTATTTTAGACCTATTCCAATCAACATAGTTGTCTCTCCATTATTTCTGGCAGCAGTGCCTATTAAGATAAGTGATTGGTCTTCAGTGGCACAAGTACTAATGCTTGTCTAATCCATCCATCTTAATGATTATATCTCTTGAAGTATTACAAGAGGCATCCTGAAAGTTTTGCGGAAAAAGGCAAAGAATATTATCCCCAAAAGTTTTA